GTCTCTACCTCACTGCCGTATAATAGGATACATTGGGTTGCAATGCAGTATACTTGTCCTTTAAGAGGTAGTCGAATTTCTTGCCAGTCAGCGGTGGAGATGATGCAAAACGACAAATACCAAACGGTATCTGAGCCAAGATTTCGTCAGCATACAGTTCGTTCCGGCGGATGCAACTCCCCAAGTAAATGAAGTGATCGACACATTCTACCAATTCATTCCGTATTATTAAACCGGGAGTATTTGCAGATTGAGATTATGGTGACCCACTGTCTTTTACCAACTGTCCTTACCACTGTTTGTACACAAGACTGAATATCACCCCAGGTTTCATTAGGAAGAGAATTGCTTTCATGTCCATTCAAATTCCTAGCTATCCCCTCTCTAAATAAACATCAAACGTTCTCATTTTCCTGCCAAGTTTACGAGGCTACACTGTCGCCTTTTTAGAGTTTTCGCGTGACTGCAGAGCCCATGATACATTTGATTGAGTCCGGTTGCAGATAGTCTTTTTAGAATTCAGGTTGGTATTCCTCATGGACTGACATCATTTGGAAAAACATTTAAAGTCTAGGAACACTGGAAATCTATGTCGTCCTGGCATAGAAACTCCTCAGCAGTGTACACCAGTGACCGTGCCAGAAATCGGACCCAGGACCTCCAGGTTCTGCTACCAATACGTCACCATTGAGCCACTGGTCCGTATTTCCTACTTCTATCAGTTCACAATATAGCATGACCTCCATCCAATGCCATCCTTGAATATCTATCCTCATATCCGACTTGGCTAGCCCCAACTGTCATGACTTCTCATTAGAATCGTTGAGTGAGATTTGATTGTGCTAACACCGAGAAAGCAAATACATACTTGGGAAGTCCGTTCAACCCTGTTAGATCAGTGGCCCACGAAATGTCTGCTCGGATACTAATGGCTAAATTGGCTTTCACCGAATCGCGTCATTTATAGTATCATCACGATATCCTGTTGTCTGTAAACGCTTGAGTATACTGTGCTATAGTACACTCTGTTCTTCTATATGGGGTGTGAAACATGGTCATCGAAGGTAGAGGATATGAGAAAGCTTCAAGTGTGCTGTCACCACTGTCTCCGTAGCCTAAACCATGTAAGTAACATAGAAGTCAGGTGTAGAGTGTAGAAAGGAGAAGAAAGTCACTTGATGTGATTACGAACTTTCATTGACTGAGATAGGTGGGACATGTATTACACACTTAGTCACCGTCTGGCTCGTCGCACCACATTGGTTGAAGTAGGTTCAGAAGGGAAAATGGTTAATTGTGACCAAACTAAAAAAGTTGCATCATTACATGGAATCTTTGACTGTTGCTCTGAGACATGTAGGAGAACATAGACTTCTCCTTTGGAATGAGCGTGACAACAGTAACCAGTGATCGCAGATTATGGATGACATTGTTCAGAATCAATGTCAATGGCGCAGATGTATCCACGGGTTATCATCTTAGTCATCATACTGAATTCAGTAACTTTATCCCTGCTTGTTATCTTATCACAACATTTTACCACTCTTGACTGCTCTCTTCTTTATTTGTTTTTCTTTCATCTGAGCTACTTCTCACTCAATGTGCTAGTATAAGGTGTGTCAATTTTGACCATTATGCACTAATGCCTAGTCCTTTATCAATCATGTCTCTCTGTTTACTGCTGTAAGGTCACCGGCATTTAAGGTGAAACCAGTTTGTGATACTTCCAGATGCATAGTCGTTGTGTCGTAACCCTATATTGTGTGTAAGTGAATAAATTTGTAATGATGATGCGCAGATTGACTGAATACTACGCTAGGTGTAGGGCTCAGAACTTGATACGATTGACTGGCTACGGTCATTTGGCGACTACTCAGGCTTAGGATAGTAAACATCAAAATACTCACCAGTTGTCTAACTGATTATACATTCGATAATCTGAAAAACAAAGGTCATTCTTTTGCATGCAGCAGTCATTCGCTTAAAAACATGTGACGGAGATGGGATAATTCTAGTCTGACTGTCAGATAAGAATTATTCCATCAAGTGGAGTCTGAATGTTAGAAAACACTGATTAAATTCTCGCCAGTTGATATAAGGCTGCATCAATATCTGTAGTAACGCATTCTTTAAATAGTTTGAATTCTTGATGGAAAACAAGTTTTTGTCTACTTCTGAAAATCACTTTGCTGAAATCATTTCATGCCATTTTAAGTTTTAGATGTTCGTCTCTTTTCTGGTCCAAAGGCCAACTGAACCCATACGGTTTCTTCTTTAATATGTTCCTATGTTTCTTCAGTTTGATCTTAACTAAGTGAACCAGTAGATAGTGTGGAAATTGCATTTTCTATCAGTGGTTTACAATGAAAACCAGGACTCCATAGTTATGTGATTAATTTCTAGAATTTAAAGTCTCCTGCTAAATCTTCTCAGGTGTCCTAACCTTGTAGAATGAAATAGGAAAGATTTTTGTAGTTTAGAGTCGTTCTTTGCAATAATGTACATCGTGATTGTCTTCTTTTTATCGTTAGTATGATAAATAGGAGAGGTTCTACTTTTGAAATTCCCCAACTGACTAATATAAGAATAGAATTAATTCTCCGTAGTAGAGTATAAACCCCATTACATTTTTGTAAAATATGTGTCACAGTGAAACGGCATATTTTACCAATGGTAGTTCGGGGGAGATTTTCGCCTATAGTCTGCTGACTTTGATTGAAGCAACAAGAACAATAGTAGGAGAATTAGCTTCAGTTTATTTCGTGGATTCTCCTCAGCCACTTTACAACCTATAGAATATAATTTTTATGATAAATAATGTGCTATACGATGTACTTTAACAAATCGATAACATTTCTTACGGATTGAGAAGGAAAGTAACAAAGATTTAGGTTGATTGACATTGATGAAAGGATCAGAAGTCTTGACTAGTCAGCCAGTGTGAATACGATCAAGCAGTAGTAACGCGTCACGAATTCACATGGTAGTCGGGAAGAATCCATATTGATTGAAGTCAAATAAAAATCTAGCCAGTAGTCGGACCTCGTAGCTCAGTTGGCAGAATATCGGCCGGAAATTCGGTTGTCGCTGGTTCGAATTCGGCAGTGTTCCGAATTTTCATTTCACCTTCAATTATCACCCAGTATTGATGAAGTTGTTAAGACTAGTCAAAGGTTAGCTATTTCTACAGAGATGGAGTAAACATTCGAGCGAAGATAGGAAGAAAAATCATATATATATATATATATATATATATATATATATAAATGGGAGGTGGTTGTGTACAGTCTTATTCCAGAATTAGTAAAAAAGACGTCATGGTTAAGTAAACGTTGTAAAAAATCAACAGGCTCTCATTATATTGAGAAATAAGATGAATACAGCTCAGAAAGTGAGAGTAGGTTTTCAAACAGACTGAAAAATAAAGTGCAAAAAACTAAGGGTCATGAAATCTTGTAATTACAAATTTAGTAGATTTAAATCGCCAAAGTAATACACGATTGACAACATTATCTTCTTGAATACACAGGTCAGCGAAGCACAAAAGAGTAGGTTTCCATTATTTATCGATAACTTGAAATGACCTTAATATGTCGACTTTATGTCCAATATCAAGCAAATACCGGGTGATAACACTATGTAAACCCTGTGGACCCTGAAGACTCAAATTCTTCGGGATATGTTCAGAAGTGTGGACAAGAACCCTTCTCTCTGTTCCTCCGATGTATGTGCTTTTGCACTTACATGTGAATTGGTAAATGCTGTTGGAGGTAACAAGAGTTAGGAATTCATGCAGCACTCAATTTATGACTCATCCTTGTGGCATTTTCATCCCCTTTGAGGGCATGGATAGACATACGAGCCTCTTGTCAACTGTACTGCACTTAATTCTTTTCCCTTCTGTCCTACCGTACCTGTCAATACACTTTTGTGGATAACCATTTTCCCGTAGGCAGCTTTTGTCAAAGGTCAATTCTTCCTTATTATTTTCTTCTGAGCATGGTTTACGCATACTGTTGACAAATGTTCTTACCAGACGATTTTGGCGACTGATTGGGCAAAAGCTATTGAAGTTTAAATAACGTCCACTCCACGTGTCTTTCTGATGAATGTATCCATGATTCTTTCCGTTTGTACGACTCTGCAGACCGAGGTCAAGGAAGTGAATTTTGTTGTCAAGCCTCTCATTTATTGAATATTTTTAATGAAGCGCACCCTAATATAACATTTGCCGTGAAAACAGAACATGACAATAAATTTCACTTCCTAGACCACTGCCTGCAACACCAAACAAATGGAACTATTCGTAGATACATTCATAGGAAAAACACATGGAGTAGGCTTTATTTAAACTTCAACAGCTTTCACCCAATCAGTTGTTCATCATAAACACTATATGCTGTAGATTGTAAAGGAGCTGATGATAATCCACAAAATACATGCATGCTAATTTTCCTACTATTGTTCTTCTTGCTTTGCTCAAATTCTTGAAAGGGAAGAAGTGTATGGAACGTGCTGACTGTTCTGAAGATTGTGTCTGAAGCCGTCATGTAGATTGTTTTAGCGAATCTCAGTCCCCTTAAGGACAAGTAGTTCCTACCTGTAGATAGGCTTCCACATATAAGGTCCTAAAATTGTGACTGGTAAGTGGCGTGGGAAAATGAGGTATGACGGGATACTGGTACTTTATATTTTTCAGTTTGTGATTCACTAGGTCATTGTGAGTTAGAAATCTAATCTAATCTTCATGACTTTACGCTATAGCTGCCTTTTCAGGTATCAGATACCTTAAATTTTGAGGAAAACTGAAGATGAAATTACATCATGACAATAGAAATTGGTAGTATCCACTTACTGATAAAATCTCACCGTTCAGTCAGCTGAGTAATTTACATAACTGTTTAACAAGATTTTTCTCTCTTACTTTCCTCTACTGAATTTAACCGCTTTATTCCGTTGTCTAAAACTGTTTTCTGACTTTTCTTGTAATATACATTTAGCTATTCGTCTGGGTTGTTTGGACTTGTTGAGGTGTTTATTGATTAAGCAACGCTTTCAACTTACACCATTCCTTACAAATCATGAATATCCACTCGCAACATTGAATGTTGAGTCTCTGGGAATTTTAATTCGAATTATGCTAAAAGATTTAAGAGGATCACAGAACAACAACTGGAACAGTAATACAAATGAAAATAACTATGACAATGATGTGGAAGTTAGCAAGCAGCAGCGTTCAGACAATCCGCTCTACCATCCTAACTATTCGTATCCTTATGTGAGTATAGCCATTTTGAAATAACTGTTTTTGATTTCCTTATTTTTGATTACTCTTTTTTTACGTTTGTGTGTGCTCCAATGATATCCTGTGAGAAATGTTCTCAGACTGCACAAATTTCAAATAAATTTAGTGATTTTCTGCTGCTAAGTTGCTACCACACTAGTGCTTTCTGTTGTCCATCGTGTATTCAAGTCTATTGCTTGAGGTCTGTATGAAACTTAAGTGCCATAAATCAATGAAATATCCTACACTAGATCATATGAGCATTTAGTTATTACCTGTACTGACTATTAGGAGTGTAAATCAGCTTGACTTGTTCTGTCTAATAACTCAGTCAGTCAGTTGGCATTAACGTGGGACCTAGAATTTCTGCGTGACAGCCAAAATCACACACCTCATATCAGCGCACAAAAGAATGCGCTCGATAAGCCATTGAAAAACGAGGAAGAAAATAGTCTAATGAAGTAGAAAGTTATCAAAAGTGAACAAGAATGAATGCGACAATAATAAAGCATTCTAGAGCCGTTCCATGTCTGTGTTTGATGACCATGTTTTACAACTATAGCGTAGAACAGTGAAGTACAGTGCAGTACATTCGACAGTTAATAGAAAATAAGATTTTACGCTGGAACCACAAATGACGTGATTTGGTGAAGGTCAGATAATTGTTTCCTATTCATGCACAGATTTCATCAGGCACTGACTCACCACGACTGATCCGACTTCATGAGTAAGTGAAGTGTTTAACACACTCAGCCACTTCACTCGCTCTAGTTAGGTGATGAATCAACTCAGACCAGTCCTGTGGCAATAATTTGCATTTGGGTGGCGAAAAGCGGATCCCATGCATACTCATATAGCCTTCCTAGGTATCCAGAAGACTCAGGATCTTTACAGATTATATCATCTGCCTACCCCAGTTTACTAATGAATCTCCTGTGACAAGGCCAGTTTTTATAAAGTTAGGCGAGAAAAGAAACCTCCGAACACGCATCAATGACGAGTGTAGAGAGTTGACATCTTTGGCCCAGAACACTCGATGAACACAATTCACCCAATTAATCACCATAAACTGTGGTAAACGTAGTGGCGCATCCCACTAGAAATCCTTCAGCAGGATGATTCACTTACTGGACATCCCTTTCAGTGAAAGTTACTAATATGAGGCCTCTATCAGCGGAGTCGAATGCCGCCTTTAAATTAAGAAATACTGCTAGTTTCAGGAACCTGTCTGAAGGGACCAATAACCTAAAATCTAGATTTTTATTTTAATTGCTTCCTATCAATTCATAAACTGCTGCAAAATGCATTTCTTGAAATTCTGATCGTTCTGTTTCGTATGGGACCAACTGGTAAAGCTGTTGGGACAAATATTCGCCATCCACTTGAACCATGGGTACCGGGTAGTACCATATACCTTTACACAAGTGTCTTAACCTGGTAACAGGTTGAGTAATATTATGTTTGCCATTTCGCTATGTCATATTGTCAGCTCATATCGGAAATCGATAGAAATAAAAAGATTTTCGTCATCCTAATTAACTGTGGTAGGTAAATGACAACTTATTCATACGAACACCTGTCGCTCCTGGGTCCGACTCCTGAGAAGTCTCAGACTGAGACGAAACAGTTGTTCAGAGTTTGGAGGTTTACGGTGCTTCTCCAGTTGGTTTCATTTCGTGATGAGAATCACTCTAAAATAAATCCATCATCATGAACCACCAACTGGAATAAGGTTAGGACTACAGAAATCAGATAGAAAATTTGTGGCTACTTTGTTATAACTACTAACAAATAATTTTTGCTGAAACGCTATCCACTGAGTTAAATAACTTAATAGATAACTTCGCATTACTATTTGCCATGTAATATGATGGAATTATCGGGGAACTATAGCTATGTCGCCGAAACTCTATTCATGTTAATCCATTTTCTCTGTTATCTTGAATTGATACTTCTTCGGACTTATAGTTCATCGTTACCAATGTTGTTTCAAATTCGAGGGTATATCACTGATCCTGTAGAGAAAAGAGTTTCAACAGCATATTTATCGGAATCTCACCAGGTCATTAATGTGTAGTATATATGAATATGAGTTATAAATGCTGCTCGAAACGTCATCCAGTAATTAATGCTGTATAGCTGTGTGCTACATCAACTAAACAATATAATATAGAACTTTCTAGTACATATTAGATCGTGTTTTTCGCATAAGTTTGTATTTGATTCTGAAGGACAACGGGTGTATTGCGCTTCTCTTCGTCCTTACTGAAGTCCAACATGCATTGGCTTCGTATATATAGATTCTTTAAGTGGCTACCTTCAAGCTCTTTAAGCAGCAATATCCATTCAGTAAAATACTGATTTTATTTCCGTATTTAATGTGAACTGACTTGATGAATGGCAGTACTAATCTTAATTATTATCTTAATATTCCTATTTTTATAAAAGATGTGTTGAACGTTTCCATCCTTGAAAGTAATATGATGTTTTCTAAGTGTTTCGTGAAGACCGAGTGGTGATTGCATTCCCGATCCCTCATTCCATCTGCACCCCTCATTACGTAATCGAAGCCAAACACCGAAAGTAATCTTATGTCACAGTACAGAATTTATCTATGTATCATATGACTTTTACAGGATCTAATAATTACGCCTCACCTATTGTTTGAAAAAGCACTCACTGTCCACGTATAAGCCTACTTTAATATCACTATTTCTTACTCACTTGTTGTTCGCATACTTCTGTGAAAGGTTCTATGCTGATTCTGCCTGTCTCAAGTAAGTACACAGAATTCATTTGCTCACTATCACTATCACTTGATAAAAGGTTTAGGTTCCTTTCTCCGATAAAATTTGTTGAGCACACTTATATCAGGGTAATTACACAGACTAGAAACCTTATCATTTCTATTTAAATTTCTTCAAATCATCAATTTCTAAATAGAGTAGAGAGTTGAGGGTGTTTGAAACAACACTGTATGATTATAAATACAATTGAACAACATGAATAATCATAAACCGCATATATAAAGACATGCAAGTTTTACGTATATGCACTATCAAGATTGATTCTGATAAAGATCACCTAGAGTTCTCCACCTCCGATTTCGGTTATCGTGCGGACCCCAATGAAGAAGTCTGCATTTCGCTACGCGACTCCTATCAGTAGTTAAAGACCTTATAGATGCCATGTTTCGGTCTCTCCACTTCTAACGTTTTTCCATTTTAAATCCACGTTGCCTAACATTGCTCAACTAGGCATGCGTAATACTCCTCAGCTATCTGATTCGATGAAAGTTGGAAACCTCAACAAGTGACCTACCTGTTTTGCTTTAAACTCTATGCATAAACTGCGTTTCTGAAGTAGTGGTTTTGTGACTCACAACATAAACCACGAAAACAACGGTGGTTGAACACCACAAGCCTTCTTATGTTCTTCAAGGCCAATAGCCGTGTCTTCGTATGAAATGAAATCCCTTTCTCTACAAATCTTTTGTCCCTACCTTGTTCAAACTTATACAAGAAACAAAACGTACAGACAGAACTATAGTTCTTTTTCGTTCCAAAGTTTTTCGGCCGAAAATTGTTTGCGATCTCCTTTTCTGTTGCTTTCCAATTGACCTTTAAACCACAAAAAGGGTACCATTTAATCACATTACTGGTTTGCTATGTAAAATTCGTCCATTCGTCCAACGAATTCATACTTTTTACTTCCACGATGGTGTACTAGAATACTTGTTAGAAACTGAAAAAAATGTTTCCGTTGAGAAGGGTTACTGTTTTAATTACCTTAACATTTTACTCTGCACTTTTTCACGCATTCATAAACATTTTTTCCACTGTAGCCTACAAGTCAAATGTTCAGGTTACTCATTGACTGGATCCAAGCAAGTAATGCTTTAACACCAGTTGTATTCACCACATGGCCAAAAATGGTTTTCCACAATCAAATGTATTGTGCTAGAAATCCTCAGCATTCTTTGAAGCTGCATAATGATAAGAATCTTTGTTCACATGTTTATTCATTTTCCTTTGCCTACGATGAGAACTTTGATGATAAGCATACAAAAGTCTCATATGATAATATATTAAATTTAATTTGGCCGTCATCGTCTGTTCACATTAAGACAGAGAGCCAACAACGCCTAACATCTTCAGGTATTGCTACTAATTCTGGTAACAATAGTGGTAATACTATTAATAGTGGCTTTGCTTTGTCAACGTGGCTTTGTTTACATGGACAATTACACGACCAGGTTGGTTTACCATTGTTATTTTAAATGGTTGTTACTGATGTATCTCAGTTTCACTTTTCCTTTTTTATTTGTTTACCAATGAAAATGAACGAAACTTCGCTCTTGCTGGACCATATCAACAAGGCATATCTCCTGAGAGATGGTAAACTATGCGACACTGGTTCAAATCCTTCTTTGACTTAAGTTTATTTCAAATTTTGTCATTACCCCCGTATATATAGATCTGTTATGGTGTGGTGTTGTGCAAATTTAATGGGAGTGTCTGAGGGTTTTTCGCAGAGAGATATCAGAAGACTGATATTCAATGGAGACCTATTCGCCCAGTCTGATCATACGTTGTTCAGATGTGAAAAGGGTAGGGCGTACACAATGATAATGATAGCAGTTTTCAAAGCGCTATCCAATGTAAGTGTAAGACTAATTGAACTATCTTTAGCCGTATCGCCAAATATCTTTTGAAAAATGATTTCCAGCGGTTTCTAATTATCATTTTGTCACTGCTTTTTCTTCAATGACTCAAACGGGAAGTATCAAATTTTATAGACTGACACAATGCTTGACGAAACAGTTTTTATTTTGAAGTTTGGAGAACCTAATTTGTTCTTTAGTCTTATGGTCTTAAGTGCATTGACGTAAATAACCAGAGAATTTTCTTAATTTTCAATATGTAGGTTACTTACTGTATGGTGTACTAATTTGTTTTAGTTGATAAATTATATTCAGTGAATGTTTTTCAGATAATGTAGATAGCGTAACGTTTCACCGCTGTTTTTTATGCGTATCACAGTTTTCGAGAAATACTTCGTGAACATATTATGAGAAAACTACGCTTTTAAGGGTTGAGTAGCAACTATAGCTAGATCGGCTGTCGTTTGTTTGACACTGGACATGATTCTGAAATGAAAAATACCCTTCAAAATTATTAATAAACAGTTTATATTGATTATACTGCGTTCAGTAGAAGTTTCGCCGTCTGTCGTCATCTTGGATACTACTTGGAATCAAGAAGTAATCTATCTGTATTTTGTCCTTACGTGTTTCTCCTGAATAATCCTCATTCTTAGCTTGTTGTTGTCATTGGTACAGACCTTCTGTTATGTTTCATTGATCAACCTATCTCATTTCCTTTTTATGCTTTTCTGCAGCATTCTGTCTGTCCTTTATTGTCTTTTTCTTCTTGTCACCTTTCACTTTGATGTACTCATGAGAAAGTGGCAACTTGAGGCTTTCAAGATGTATGCTAATTTCTGCATGGTTCTGCCTATTTGTTGCGTTATCTGGTAGACTAGCGAACAGACAAAAAAATCAGCGTAGAACGTCGTACCGAAATGCATCGCTTCAACCTGCCACACTTCACAGGAGCAGACCAGACAATGTGGGAGAGTAAAGAATTTGAAAAACGAAGTTTATTTAAAAGATTCAAAATTTAGTAGTAGTGAACACGTAACCATTATTTGACTAATCTTCGGTCATGTGACCAATGGGTTGCAAACGTTGCTTCTTAACGTCTCAGGCTCCACAGAAAGGGAGTATACATTGCCCTACATGTCTCAGACTAAGAGTCAGAAACTTTCTAGACTGCTGTTGTGTGTTGTTCTGACTGCCATTAGCCTCCTTCCAAGCCAATTTTATTTCGACCAACATTGCATGTTGTGGTAGGTGGTCGCATGGTATGCGAATCTTATGCCCAAGCCACTTCAGTCAGTGGAGGTTCACAATCTCACTGACTGACTTGGTTTCCTTACTTAGTACTCTTCGTCTCACCTTGACACTGCTCACTCGATGACTCCACCACTCGCGTGTAATGCTCTAAAAGTACTTGTGTCCGAGAATGTATAATCTCTTTATATCGACTTTCAACGGCCGTGTCGCATAACCGCATATTAGGACAGAGCAGACCACGTCCCTTGAGATGAATGAAATAATTGCGAGACGTATACCGTAATGCTAGACAAATAACGAGCATCAGCCTAACGTTAAGTCTCTTAAAACCAGTTTTTGTTCAATTACGTGGTAATTATTCATTTTTCCATTTCATTTAACTCGTTAGTTATTTGAGCGTGATACTTTTTCAATCTTCTGTGAGACCAGAAATCAGGAATTTCCGTTTGTTCACTTCGGAGACATCATCTTCTCATCCATGCTTTCGAGAATTCCCACTCTGAAGGGATAATACTTGAAGATCATGAAGTATATGCGGCAACCGATTTAGATTGTTAACTGACGTAGTGTCACTAACACAGTAACAGTTGTACAAGATATTCCCTTATTTTTTTTTCGATTTTCTTTTCTGACCAAAAATGCCTTGAAAGTGTTCAGACTAACAAAGGTATATTAACTTAATATGATTAAGCATATATTCCTTTTTGAATTAGTTTTCCGTCTCTAATTTTTTTTAGAAGCCTAGGCCTGAATTTAGTCAACTATCTGAAACGGATCTTTTCCATCATGTAAAATCCAATCATTTACAACATTTCATAAGTTTGGATATCAAGTTTCAGTATTCTGAACAAATTGATGAGTTCATGTATCAACTACGCACAGAACCGACTGATTCTTTACCATCATTTTCAGAATCATCACAATCTTGCTCATCTGATAGCCGTCTATCTTTGCAAGTGAGACGTTAACATTTAATTAATCCCCATTTATGTATTTAACTAGAAATCTTCCAACGCATTAAATTTGTCGACAAGAGAGCTGTAAAAAACTAGTTTGATTTAATGTTGAAGATTAACGATAGGTTTCCCTAGATATATTGTGCTGGCCAATGAAATCACATCTTTTGATGCTTAATATGATAGTTTCGCCGTAGAAGTTAATGAATCCTGGACTAGCAATAAACACCATGTACAGTGCTAACTAACTTTCCATTTTCACAACCAGCACCTACTTATACTGCTTTATTCACCTTCTTCGAAATTCTTCAGAAATCATTCACCTGAGGTTAAATTTTATTTTCCAGAGTATTGCATATCATGAATGCTTGAAGTTGTATTTTGGATGTTTTTATTAGTGGTATGTTGAATTATCCAATGTATATGTAACCTGGTAATACAGCAACAAGCATTGCTATATACTAACACTAGTTTACCAGTTAAATTAGGTAGTAAAACTAACAGACTAAAAGAGTTTACGTCGTCAAGTATTGAATTAGGTATTACAATTTTCGAGGTTTTCGAAAATACCACCCCATAATAATTTGCACATATTACCAATATGTATGAACAAGCTCAGAGGTAATCAGACCCACCTTACTCAGCACTGCGTTTAGAGACGTCATCAATGGTGTGTAAGAGTTGTGAATGGACTTCTATTGGAGGGAACACATTAAACTGAACAGTCACTAGACATTAACTTTCTTTGCTGTGTTGATTTTTCACAACTACGTGAAACCTAAAGATCAGGTTGTGAATTACTGTCACGGAAAACTTTGTGAGACATTGAGATTAAAAGTAGCGTTTGTGGGATATTTTAAACTTTTTTGTGCTTGTTGATGGTGGTGAACAAGACTTATCCTAATTCTCAATGAAGCTTAGGCTCTGCCAGTTACTTAAACGAAAGCAACTCAAGGCTGCTGTTAGAGATGTCACTTTTAAGTTACTCTTCAGTTTAAATACTGATTTTTGCGAGTTGTTTCGCGCCAGTACTATCACTTACTGACTTCACATCAGCATAACTCACTAATAATTTAGTTCAACCCCCAATAGTTAATCACGTTGTTTCAATTAATGAAGATTACCCCATTTCAGTTATATTGATGTTTGCATTTTACAGCAAATGATAAATGGAAGGTGATTGGTTTCACTGATATGTTGCTACTTAACACCAGTATCTTTGTTAAGGCATTGAATTTTAAGTGCGAAAGCTTCAGCAAAGTAAGTTGAAAAATGAATTTGATCCAGTATCAAACCATTTATATACTTTCAAGATTCTGTGCACTACTGAAGACTCAAACTGTCGGCTCTGTTAGCATCAAGTGAAGACCTTTTTAGAAATACGCCAATATTCAGCCTTTTCAAATACCTGGCGACGTTATTAAATTACTTCAAGTAAAATTAACTGTTAACTGTGGAAAGAGATATGAGCTTCTAGAATTGCACATCAGTTAGTAGATTATTCTATGCTTATATGATTTTATCATCTTCACATCTATCATTCTTATTCGGTTGATTGAACTACCAGGTTTGTAACTGTTTATTATTGATTGCTATTACTTCTGAGACTCCAGTCGGATGACTTCATGAACATGCGTTATATATTGATCTGGTGTCCCTTAGTCTTTCTTCAACCTAATCCTATTTCTTGATAGTTGTAGTTTCCCTGGATCGCATTGGTCGATTTTTCTTCGGATATTGGCTCCGATGCGATACAAGAGACCGGACAATTCAATGCAGTATAGCTGTGAAATCACAAGTGTCAATAAAAACTGATACTTTTTGCGCAAATAGTGACTTACTGACAATGGATACTCTGGTATTTGAAATGATAGGTGCTGTGTTAAAATCTCAATAGAGACGCAGGCACATCCAGCTAATGGTTCCTAGATATGACGCAATACGCGTCATGGATTCTACTCCAAGCTACCACTAAGCAGATTATTCTAATCTTTTTTCGATAATAATCTCACAGCCTTTAAGTCTGTCACTCAGTATGCATGTTAAATTCCTAAGTATTAAGAAAACAAACAATATGGGTGAAGAAATTTTTCGTTGTAATTAGTTCCTTGTCAAGCATTTCTTCACTCACATTGTTTCTTTTCCTACTGTCTAAATGGGAATTTTTGCATTCTGAGTATGAAATGACTAATCATATAGTATATATACAGTCGGCTTGCGAATTCATTGAAATGTAGAAGCATCAATTGTCAAATTAGATCAATAATTCTACTTTAACCAATGAGCTATGGTTCCCCTGATGACAGCATCTGAGTCTGAGGACTTCCAAAAATATTGATTAATCAAAATGGAGTTTTCATCAGTGTATTCAAGTAGTCGCATTGTATTTCCTGTTTTCACTTCTGTTCTCTATTCCTCTTCTTAGGTGTGGATCTCATCGATGTATTCATGCATTTATATGCGTATAGCTCAATTCTTACCAGAGAGTAAAATGATAGCAGAAAATGATCAAACCATGTTACACAATAAAAAAAGAATTATATTATTAGGTGATTTATGTATAGATTTCCCGATGAAAAAAACAATTTATGAAGAATGGAATCATTTATTTCTATTTATTCAATGGATTGACAGTTTTAATGCAAAAGTATGTTAGATTTATGCATTTGTTTCATATACATGTTAGTTGCACATATCGAATAAGTTTTTATGCCTTAAAGTTTGCAATTTAATGTAACGCAATAAATGATGAAGTAGACAATTGAAAATTACAATTTTCGCATGATAATACTCTGATACTGAGATGGGTATGTGGAGTATGACGTAGTTTTCAACTTAATATCGACTGAATAATTTGTTTTTTCGAATATAACATTATCAATGCAGAGACGCATCAGTTTGAGAATCACTGAAAACTCATAGATATATTGACTAACCTCTTCATCCCACTTTGAGTCTGCTTCAAGACTCCATTTAGAGTCAAACATGGAATATTTAGGTATTATGAAGATTATAATAGTATTAACCCAATGAGAAAGACTTGAATCGATATCATTTTGCATCTATATATATTCTTGTCAGGGTTGATCAACCTCGCTACCGACTTCTGTGGGAACAATCTTTTCTTAGGAGTATAAAATCCAAATCAATGCAAGTCACTTCATCACAGTTTTCTTGTGATTTTGAATTTTGACCACTGTCCAGCTTATTACAGTTTAATTGAAACCACTAATCAGATTAAAATGTTTAAACGTACGGTACAGTACAACATATCAATCAGCTGACGACTGCATACTAGGTTTTTGTGTCACTGAGTTATTTTGCTTCAACTGGATCTCTGAATCCTTTGTTAGTGCTTGGCAACATAAGCCAAAATGTGCGCTGTTTAATACTTGTCAGGTGCAAATATTTTTCTTTTGGTGAATGATACTCCCACTGACACCTAAACTCAGGATCCGTTACTTCAAATACCAAGATATTATTCATCTGGCTGAAAAATCACAGCTTTAAAGAACAGAAGAGTATTCGAGGTTGAAAAGTTTCTGTCTCAATGTTATATATATATATATATATCAAGGAGCTCGCTTCGGAAAATTGTGCCTGGCAGAAGAACCAGCTATTCACCAATTCTAGCCTGATTTTTGTGTACCGGAGAAGTATATTCAGTGTCTTATCTTACCATAGTCTTAACCCTTCCCGTTTCTTCGATTTTATTACAATTATCAAGATTACCATTATTACCTTCCTCGTGAACATTATTCCTTTCGTCATCTTGATTACACCTATCAAGTGGGCTGTCAGTCATCCCACATCACCCTGTCGAATTCCTTACCTTCCTCATTAATTGCACTGTCTTGTGGATTAATACGAAACTCCATTAATACTTCACTTAAGTCCTGAGACCTCTCTAATAGTCTAGATACCCTCATTATTCAATAAGAGAACGCTATGTACTTGAGATGTGTATTAAAACGCTTGTACAGCCTTTGAAAATGACATTTTCGAAAATTAAAATTTTTTATTCATTGTTTATCTCCACTTTTCCTTGATATGCATCGTACATCGTTCACAGTAATTTCTTTGTAATCAACTGGCGATAGCTTCAATCAACATGTGAAACTCCAGAATTATGAATATGCTCGACTAGATCATCCAGTCCTGGTTCTTGATAAGCTTTTTTTTCTACTTTATCCTTCTTTTAGGTACAAGTTATAGTCAATGGTTGGTTTGAATCCAGTGGCAGTTTAATATTGAACAAAAATCTTTTAGCTGGGAAATTATGTCACCAGTGTTATCCTGTTATATATTTCGGTCATGTGACTGATATCTACTCTAAAGGATGTAGGAAGCATAATTTGGATTTAGGAAATCTATTTTTACTTGCTGGTAAGATAGCTAATTATTTTTCGTCGTTTTCGCAGTAACTCCACAATATCGAAGTTTTTAAGAGTTATTTAATTTTATTGTGAAAAATATACATTTTACTAACCATATGATAGGTGTTCAGGTCCTAAGAAAAATATGGAAAATAGGTTACGATATTTTAATGGGTTGCTTCTAGCTAACAGTTTTACCGACGAAGGTATTAACTATTGGGATTATTATATGGAGGGTTCCAGTTTCTCTTTTACTGCTTCTGTCCAACTTCAGACTTGATGTGGAAAGCATCACCTCATCGAATGTGTGGATTTAGTTTCAATAAAATGTATGAGATGCTTTTTCTTATCAACGTAGTGAGTAACAGTTCGTATCGACGTTCAGCTTCGAATTTATATTCTGTTACAACATATGCACATTGAGATATAAGTACTAAAACTGTAATCTGACAGCTCAAATCAAATTAAATGGAGTTGGTTTCAACACTACCACCAAACAAATGTTTACTGAACAAATACATGTCTTTAGTTTGAATTGATATTTTCTGTATATGCCCGTAATTTTAACATCAGTTATTTCGATAAAGAAATCAACTGAATGAACCATGCAAAAAGATGGATAAGCTAAAAATCAATATTGAGAACTTCAGTACATTTTAGCTGGTAGTTTCAACGTCTAACCTTACTACTCATGGTTTTTAGTCACTGAATACTCATACTTTGGAGGCCTTAACCAGTTTTCACTCCCTTACATAGCTGGTACTTATGAAATTCAAGCATGTTGGTTAATTTTGTGTTCTTGTCGGTTATTCTATAATTACAAATATGACAACTGAAAGCAAGCAGTGTCTGGATGCCTTTAATACTTACTACGGCAGTTTCAACAGCCAAAGGTTTGTAACTTCATTATTTTAAAGCTGTACCATGAAAAAACTATTCAATTAAACCACTACTGATGGATAATCTTGACAAGTCATTATTTCGAGACAAATTTACTTGATCTCGGATGACTGAAATCAATATTCACGATTTTTGGGATTCAATTCTCACAATTTCCATCTCTTTTGTTTGCCAAGGTTCATGATACTGACCTCTCAAACATCAACAGAGGAATAAGGGTTCGAAATCCTCTAAAATTGCCTACCCGCCCCACTAAGTCTAAGTTTTGAATTCCAGATACTGCTTGAAAGGTGTTTTTCAAGAAACCAACACGTGATAACTCCTAAAAATACAGATACTACGATTGTGACTATCTTCATTGAGTTTTTTTTTATCAGTATCTTTTACTACTTTCATGTATATCACTTTTCATCAGCATTGTTCTATCTCATTTCTGTCTCATAGGTGTACCACATATGGATCAACAAGTTTCTCGTTCCAATGAAAAATGTCCAAAGAGAAAATCGTTGAAACATAACCGTGATCATCTTGATCTTGGTGGTTCATACTGTAATGTGAAAAAAATCGCCATGTCATTTGCCTTGTTAGGTCCTTGTTGGACGGGTTACTTTGATTCTATTGAATATGGTTCTCACTACAGAAATTACTCTCTGTGTATTCTACATTCACTTGTACGTAGATATGCTATAAAATATTCAACACTGAATGAAGTTGGTCATTTGCTATCGCAATTACTATTGAAGACAAATTCACTGATAAGTTCTGCGGATTGGTTATGTTTTTTCAAGAAATACTGTTCGGTTAGTTCATCAGTTTTTTGTGTACTGCAAAATCATGAAAATATATTATACTGCATGTGGTTCTATTTCTTTAGCGATATAGTAGGTTTACCTGAAGGGAAGCTGTTGTGTTTACAGTTTGGAGCTACAGTCTCTAAATTATGTGATGTGTCTAAGGTAAAACTATAGAATCTCACTGTCCTTAAAACGATCAATCAGAAGCGAAAAAGCTACTCTGTGATTTTCGGAGTACAAAACATCTCATTGAAAAGGAACCATTTCAGAATTCAATTAAATGTAGAGTTTTTGAGGTTAAAAAATGGGAATTCTTTTAGTGGCTGAGTAGTTATAACCACAGATATTCGTCGCAATTCGTGAATCATGGGGGGGGGGGAATAAGTTCAACGTCGGTGTCGCAGTGAGTAGTACTTTTTCACCATGCTATACTTATAAAAAGGAACTGTATTGGGATTATACTTTATGACAGTGTCCAAATTCTATTATCGTATTAATGAAACTTATGGTCTTACTGTCAGATGACTAGTCAATGAATTTATACGACCTTCTCAAACAGAAGATAGATATTTGTATCATTTAATGTCAGTAAATAAGGTGTTAAAATTTAAACCATTTGACTGTACCTTTACATGTCACTACATCGTTACTATAATAAAATAGTATCATATCAGTGCGTTAAGATAATAAAAGAGGAAACAAGAATTGTTTGTGGATAATTGTTAAGGAATCACGTGTGGTAGGTAAGAAATGACGATTATCAGGGATACGGTTTAGTTGTATAAGTGATTGGATCCAGACTACATAAGGTGGTTACATAATGTTCACGATTTTATTTTTCATCTTATTAGATGATATGAAAAGCAAATTTATCACCCGGCTTTTGAATAGAGGATAAGCAACAATTTTTCTATTATAGTTCGGAAAGGATGGTATGTGTTTTATCAATACATTACGTTTACCCTCTTCATTTTAAATTTTTCAAGGACTCAATTATCGTCTCTAGTACTTAGACCAAATATAATCTCTAAGTATTGCAAAAACACTATTTGTCTTCATTAACTGATCACTGAGGCGTTGTATCACAGCCTTATAGACTACACACTCGAAGCTGGATAAATTACACTTGGATTGAAACTCTGCTCCAATTACTCAGGCTGACATATTGAGTTGGCAGTCATATCTCACTGACCTTGCACAATAATTGTGGACTATGACTTTCTACTGCACTCCAAAATAGTTAAAGCCACACCTGATGTAACATACTGGAAAATTTTACTGACATTAAAATAAACGAATGAAAAAATGTTGACTATATAAGGGAAGTTTGAAAGTCACATGGTAACTTTGATATGAATATGAGCAATAAATTTTGCTCGAAACGTCATCCAGTAAATAATACTGTGTCACTGTGTGCTTTATCAAATAAACAGTCTAGTATGGTATTAAAGCCACACTTCTTTTCTTCAGTCATAAGTGGACTTTATCGACCAACTCATAGTGAAGAAATAACTGTGTGCAATATTAATGATGGATAGTGGCTATTAGGGGAATCTAGGGTGCACGTTTCGTCCAATATATAATTGAAAGATAGCTAATATCAAAGCGTTCGCTCAGAAGTCCATATGCCAATAAAAACTTATCAATTCGGTCCACTCAACGATGGGATAATACAAGCAGCAACATATCCCGGAATTATCCTTGATGTTAGTTATCCCTGGACAGTCATTAAAAAGTTATGATTTGTGTGAATGTTTTATCTCCTGGTGCCGACTACGAAGGTGTCTGTACAACCTTTAGGAAACATTCATTTATCATAAAAAAAGCCTGGTTTATACCGTTAAAGTTATGGCTTGGCTGTTGATCAAATCCTAGAAGCTTAATGACACTAATACTGTCCGTTTAACATTAAAAATATTCAGTCTTTCTGTAATAATTATCTGAATACAGTGGAAGCTATCATAGTGTTAGCAGCTAAGATACACCTTATCCAAGACGAATGACTAACACTGTTTCTGATGTTTCTTCGGTAAAAATACGTTACCTAAGCAACTGAGAATTTGGTGAGCTTTTTCAAGAAATGGTGATATGCGCAACTGACTAATACCAGATGAAAGGCTTTTAGAACTACGGAATGCGGTTAACTTCTGCATCCTCGATAGTATACATTTAAATTTCTTAGGGGCAAACGTGCGCTATTTGAATGTTTTTAGAACCACTCAAGGAATTGGAGCTGCTAAAGTACGCTTCATAAAGCGCGAAAGATGAACTCTGAGTGGGGAATAAAATACAATTTTCTAGTACTCCCGGCTTACTACTAATGCCTTGGTTAAATCCATTCTGTAATGAATGCGGTTTTTAAGGTTACCATATCTGTCAGAACGCATAGTCTTCTAAAAGGTTGATACTTTGTTTTATATTTCAGAAAAATTTATTCATTATTCTACTGAGTAACAATGCTTCTAGCCTACAGTTTCTCATGCCACCGCCGCCATCAGCACTGTCGTCGTCATCGAACTCATTCAAGTGTACTGTTTCGTCGCCAACTGTTACAGCTAATGATAATGGCCAGGATGATGATGATGATGATGGATTCCAGATATGTGATATCTATGATATCCACTCACGGAATACTGATTGCCACAATAATAACAGTACTAAACCAGTTGCTGATAAGTAAGTTATGATTAAATGTCATTTTATTTTGTTGTAGTCCTTTGAGATGATATAGTTGGCCAAAACCAACACAGAAATTCCCACACATACACATCATTCTTCAGGTTTCGCCACGTAGGTTTCGATTGAACCTTCACCCAGTTGGGTAGCATCTCATCAGTAGTAACTTCATGGGACAAATTCAGCTCGAACAACTGGATTGTTTAACCAACTGGAATAGGGTTGACTAACCTAAAGGAACTGGTACACCAAAACATATGAATGCTTCGTAAATTATTTACTTCAACAAACCTTACAGTTGGTTAGTTTTATCGATTCCATAACTGTAGTATAATAGTTTGCGAATTGAGAAGATGGAGTTTTGAGTAAATATGTAATTCTGTTATAGTTTTGTCAGGTTCAACCCTTAAATAGAATATTTGTACAGTAGATATACATCTAGAGCTAAACAGAAACTTAGTTAGTATTTCACAATCAAATTTGGCTACCACTTTTTTACCTAAAAAATGGAGCTGTAGCTTATTAATCTAAGTATTCGTCTTCTAGCCAGTGAGTCACGAGTTCGAACCCATTTCCGCCTAGTAAGGCTTGGACAGTCAGGTAGCGTCATTATCACATACACCCTTGATGTGTCTTATTACTTACTGAATGAATGTGCATGTGGTTTTTGAGCATATTTCGAATTTATGACCATTTTTGTAATCAAAGATAAACGGATCGGCAGGCGAAAAATTACTTAGTATAGGGCACTGTGTTAGATTGTTATTCCATTATAGTCTGTTTATTAAAATAATCACACATTGAAACAGTATGATGTACTGGAAAACTTTTCGGACACAATTTATTGTTCATATTCATATACTGGTATTCCAGCCTTTTCTAACCACAACTGCCTATCTTTAGTTCACAGTTGTCTATATACATCAGAAATAAGCATTATGTTCACTTCGATTTACTAGTCAAGTTCACTGTGGAAATAGATGGTCAATCTCCAGGAAGCCAACTTCGAATGAGCACCATAATAATTTCCAACGATGGTTACCACTTAGAGAAGAAATTTAACTCATTCATTCAGTACATAAGTTGGAAGAGTGTAAATAAATGACAAAATAGGTGAAGGACTGGAAATCGCTTGAAATATACTTCGTCAGAAAGGCTGCCACTTCAGAATTGATCGAGATAAATATTAGGTGAAAACAGCATCATAGTCCTTAGGGAATTAAGTTCATGAACATTGAATCCAAGGGGAATACTACTACCAAAGGATTTCTGAAGAATTGATTGTCTAAAGCAATCAAGTGGACCCTTTTTTGCTGCCTGTTTTTGAAGTTAGTTCAAAAAGGATGTTAGGATAAACCACCGCTTTGACTCATGTCTAAGGCCACCTATGAGCCTAACCCCTTTGAATCTAGTTTGGCAGGTTTCCCAAAGTGCAGTATTTCCGAATATATTTCCGGGTCTTATCCTGTCTATCTGTTATTTGAAGAATTTAAATTAGTCAGAAACGAAATCCTCATTGCCTTGGTTAACTTTGTTTTAAATTTTACATAACGTCAAGGAGAATGACTAGAGCAGTGCGAATTCGTTACTAATTTATCGTCTATGCATTTTGTAACCCAGCAAATATAGCTGCAGCTATGCGTACTGAAGCGGCATGACAAATCCCCTATTTTGCCACATGTTCTCATCACCTTGCCTTGACTTCCTTCGCTGTTTCAATATTCCTCAAACTCATTTTTATTGTCGCCTGATTTGTGCTCCTGCAGGTATACGTGTTAGCTCTAATCTCCCACAAAAAAGGTGTTGTAATATATTTACAAATCTTCATCAAAACTTTAAAATCTTTACATCGTGACTGATTGTATACTTTTTTCTACATGTATTATTGCGCAACCTCTTTCTGATTCTGCAAATAATTCAGTATTTCCATCTGGAACATATTTTTATGGTCCGTCTTTGAGCTTTTTAGCCGGTAGTAAACTTAATTGTTTCTTACATGTATCAATATGATTATGCAAGTGTTGGAAAGGATTCATGGGAAACAATTTTATCCTGTACATGTTTTGTTGACTCAGTTGCTGAATGGCAGCATGCTCACTGGAAGGCTTGATGGTGGTCTCTGACCCGAAAACTACATTGGGTTGCGGATTCGCACTCCTGATGAATCCTAAACTAGGACGGAACTGCTGTCGAGTACTTCACAGTATACCGTGAACAGTTTATCCGGCCTACTCTTTCATCAACAGCAACCTGTGCCTCATGCTTCACGGTAATCCCATCCAACAAAGTGGTCTGTAGGGAACTTCTTTATTAGTAAGTGAATTAAGACGCTCAGTTGTGTGAGAGGTTCCGCGTTGATTTTGTCAGTCACTCTGTCAACAGATTTATTATTCCTGTACTTGTGTTAGCACTGTTACTGAATAAAAAGTTATACATTTGTCGTGTTCATTTATCTCAACAGATATACTCGTACTTCTCGAAAAAGATTATGGACACTGAGAGACCAATATACACATGCTGATAATTTGAAACTAACTGGAGAATTAACATCTTCAGTGGATTTCTATTATAATCCACAATTTGATTCAAGTTTTGAACTCCATGGAGGTATTGAAGTACCAATTTATCTACTGGGTGAGGTAAGTTGCTTGTTTGTATGCTTAAATAGAGTCACAAATAGACCACTTAGTCTAGAGAGCTTAATAGAGCATTCATACTCCTGAATACCAGTGAGTAATATTCTTAATTTGGTGTTTTTAATCGACTTTTCGTAACAGACATTTAAACAATCTGTATGCTCGAAAATTTCTTCTTTCTAATCTGAGTCTGAATTTATTTTCCCTATTTTTTCGAACATATAATAAATTTTTTGTAAGGAACATATCATAACCTCGCCTGATTAACTAGTTCACTAGTTACTAGCCGGTCCTAAGCCCGGGTAAAGAGGGAAGGTTGAGCACAGACCTAGCAACCCTAACCCGTAAAACCAATCAAATAGCTAAACAAACTTAAAAGCACAAACAACATATAAAAAATAAAAACAAAATTATTCCTCGCTGGAATAGGAGAGACGAAATGACGCCAGTTGGTGAAAGCCATCGGGAAGCCAGTCGGCCGATTTGTCTTCTCTCGATGAAAGCGAAGGTAAACATGGGGACATGGAATGTCCGCACCATGTATGAACCTAGTAAGGCTGCCCAGATTGCGAAGGAGGTGAGAAGTGCTAGGAATCTATGAAAGCAGATGGAATGTGAGTGGACTCTCCAAACTGTCAACTGGAGAATCAATAATCTACTCCGATTTTGTCACCCAGACGACAACCACGAGCATACTGAGTTATGGAGTTGTTATCATCATGTCTCCAACAGCATCGAAGGCTCTCTGTCATGCAGTGGGAACCAATCTCCTACTCTCCAGGATCAGGATCATGGCAGCAAGATTCAAGTGGAAAGGAAGGAAAGTCACAATCATACAATGCTATGCTGCGCTACGCTACGCTACACTACACTACACTATGCACCTACAAATAATGCAGATGAAGAGAAGAATGAGGAGTTCTACAGACAACTGCAATCAATACTGGACAAGACCTCAGTTTGCGACATCAAAATTCTAATGGGTGACATGAATGCCAAACTGGGAGGGGACAACACAGGCAGAGAACTAACCATGGGTCGGGAAGCTCTCGGTGAGGTGATGAACGAGAATGGAGAATTGTTTGCAGGATTCTGTGCATTCAACGATTTGGTGACTGCAGTGAAGCAATGTGTTCAAGCACAAGGATATCCACAAAGCGACATGGATTTCACCAGATGCCAGGACACACTAAAAATCAAATCGACTTTATCTCAATCTCAAGAAAATGGAGACACAGTCTGCTTGACACAAGGTCAAGAAGAGGAGCAGATGTAGGTTCACACCACTCACTATCTGGTGCAAGGAACCTTCAAAATCACATTAAAAGCCTTCAAGGAAGCTGGTGATAGACCACAGTTGAAGTTCAACACCCGGGAACTGAAGGACGAAACTACAATGGACATCTTCACGGCAGCCATCAAGATAAAATGGGAGATATCGAGGAACATTTCTGAAGAAACCTGTGTGGAAGAATATTGGAAGTTTTTGAAAGAGATGAGGAAAGAAACCTGCACAGCCGTATTAGGAAGGAAAAAGAAACAAGATAGGACAAGGAATGGATCTCGACGGATACATGGAAGCTGGTAGAGAAGGGAGATGAGGATGGTGAAGCAGAAGATAAACCAGTGCAAGGATGCTCAACGACAAGAGGAACTGAGTACAATGTATAAAACACTGGACAGTTAAGTGAAGAAGAGTGCAAGGAAAGACAAAAGACACTTCTAGGAAACACTGGCAAGTGAAGCAGAACAGGCTGTAGGTAGGAGAGATAGAGATATGACAACATTGTATCAAATAACCAGGTTGCTATCTGGAAGGGAAGAGATCAACACAGACGAAGCCAATAAAAGATGAAGAAAGAAATTTAATTACGAAAGAAGAGAAACAAAGGAAACAGTGGGCCGACCACTTCAAGAAGCTCTTGAATCGACCACCACCACCTGCACTTCGTCCAGAAATACCACCTACAGCCGCTGAACTACAAGTGAATATAAATCCTCCAACAAGAGTGGAAGTCCTTGACGCCATAAAGCTACTGAAATGTGGGAAAGCAGCAGGACCAGACGGGATCCCGCCAGAAACACTGAGAACAGACGCAGAGACAACAGCAGACATGCTCACACGACTATTGCTGAAGGTGTGGAAGGAAGAGAAGGTACCTGCCCATTGATTGGAAGAAGGGTTACCTTGTCAAACTGCCGAAGAAGGGAGACCTCAGTGTTTGCAAGAACTGATGCGGAATCACTCTCCTGTCCACTCAAAGCAAGCAAAATATTAAGCCGCATCATCCTGGAGAGGCTTAAGGATGCACTGGATTCAAAACTACGACCGCAACAGGCTGACTCGCTGGATTCAGGAAGTACAAATCATGTGCGTGCCAAATTGCAACGCCACACTACCCATCATCATAGAACAGAGTATAGAATGGCAGGCAACTCAACTCTACACCTCAACTTTATCGACTTTGAGAAGGCCTTTGACAGTGTCGACCGAGAGGTGATTTGGAAACTTCTTCAATACTACGGAATACCTCAAACCTTTATCAGCCTCATTCAACAACTATATGAAGACGCCACATGCCAATTAATAATTCACAATGGGAAGCTCAGTGATGCTTTTGAAGTGAAGTGAGGACAGGAGTGAAACAAGGTTGCCTACTATCCCTCATGATATTCCTGATTGTGGTCGACTGGATCATGCAGCAAACAGTGGGGGGCTGTGAGAAGAGGGGGATACGCTGGACTGCGAAGAAGAACCTAGAAGATCTGGATTTCGCCAACGATGACTTGTGTCTGATGTCACATAAACTTGAAGATCTACAGGCGAAAACTAACAAGTTGACAGAAGAGGCAGGGCAGCTAAGATGGGACTTCAGGTGAATATAGAGAAGACAGAGGTGATGATGATACCGCACCAACAACTCCAACAACAACAACAAACTCCAGTCACCATCAACGGGAGGAACTAAAAGGAAGTAACCTCCTTCACCTACCTAGGAAGCATTGTTTCTACTACAGGTGGTGGCACAGACGAGGATGTCAAAGTCAGAATCGGGAAAGCAAGACAGGCGTTCATTAGCCTGAAACCAGTGTGGAGATCTTCTGCACTCAGCATGTGGATCAAGATACGGATTTTCAACACCAATGTCAAGTCAGTGCTTCTGTATGGTTGAGAGACTTGGCGCGTTACGAAAGGGATTTCCAGTAAACTACAAACATTCATCAACAACTGCTTACACTCTCTACTGAAGATCAGACGGCCAGAACATTAAGAATAAGCAACAAGGAACTCTGGGGACGAACCAACCAAGAACCTATCACGCAACAAATATGCAGGAGGAAATGGAGATGGATTCTGCATGCAATGAGAAGGCCGACTGGGGCCATCACGCGTCAGGCTAGACGCTCGAGTGGAATCCCCATGGGAAGCGACGAGTTGGACGTCGGTGCTGAGGGTGACATGGAGGAGATCGTGTGAGGAGAAAATGAGAGCTTGTGGGCTTTCGTGGAACCAGGTTCAAAAGATTTCAGAGAACAGAGTTCACCGGAGACATGTTAGTGAAGCCCTATGTTCCATTAGGAACCTAAGGGACTAATAATAATAATAATAAGGAAAAAATCATAATGAAATATATGTGCAAGTCCTTATGTTATGCAGTAATCCGACATCATGATTGCGATTAAGCACTGTGTTAGACGACTTCCTTTCATAACATAACACTTTTTACAACACATTTCGACAGTTTATGACTTTTCTGTATCAAACGAGAAGTGATGGGTGCTTTTAAGGTAAAACTATATATCTCTAAGTGTTTTACATTTAAGGTGGCGTTTTATGAGATTTCATACAGAAAGTTTGCGATTGTTGATGTACAATGGATTTCTCAATAAATCACCGATGAAACTACTGAGATGAAGGATTTAATAGAAATGATTAACATTCTTTAACTGAATCACCCTTTGACATGCATATATTAACTAATGGGACTATCAACAATGAATGCTTGAAGGAAAATATTTGGAATCTAAAGTTTTACTAAAATGAAGTCAAACTAGTGTTTATGCTTGTATTACACCGTCGTTGATTGTACCGAATTGATCAGTCTGCCTCCTGGATTCCACTGCTTAGGCACTACCCATCATTACTATGCATAATAAAATCAAACTAGCTGAAAATTGAAAATTTGAAACACAGTTCGTTTTATGAATTCCGATAGCGTAATTAGAAGATGAAGTTTATCTGAACAATGTGATGTATTTGCGCAATACATTTCGAAAATCTGATGACATATTTACTTGTCAAGTCAATATATATTAAACAGAGGAGTGGGGGGACAAACAAAACACTTAACACAATAGGGGATTAAAATTAAGAAAGGTGGGAACAAACTAGAAGTGACATAGTTGATCCTAAACTTGGTAAGAAAACTAAATATACCAAAGTAGGTACAGTGTAAGAATAAATTGTTTTTGTATACATAAAGGTGGTTTAAATTTGCATGCGTCTATCGCTTCCGAAAATCTCACTTTACATCCCTGACTGGTTCCATATAAAACTTTGAAAGCTGTTTGAACATTAGTTTTGTGCGCTTAGCTTTACAGAAAGAGGGTTGTATCCCATCTGGGTTTATCCAAGTTTAACACTCCATTTATGTACATGTTCTCTCACTTTCAACTGCATGGCTCGATTATTCCTCCATATGTATATGTGACCAAACAAATATATGTAAACTGGTGAACACAATGCGACGTGGTACAATCATTTATGTAGTGATTAGGTTTATGGTTAGACTGCATAATATATTTCCTCAATGGCTGATGTCAGCCATGTCAGTCATAAAATGAGCTGATAAAGTCCTGAAAAAGCAATCGAATTTACATTCTTGCGAAGAGTATCATTCCACTGAAAGAAACATAGTTTAAAAGGAAAATTTATAGGTACTTGCTTGTATGTAACGAAACGTTTACGGACACCTAAGCCAAAGATAAACAAGTGGAAAGAATCCATTTTTAGCGGAAAGTAGGGAACAGAACCCAACATGATGTTAATGAAAGATTTAGAGAAAAGTACATGCTTCTCATAAGAGATAACACTCATTTTGCGGTGATTATTAGTGATAGCAACGAAAACACTATTTGAAATTAGTGTACACTGTTTTCGTTCACGGGTTAAATTTCTCTTGGGTAAAGAACGCGCAAATAGTTCGCTTTTTCGCTTTACTCTTTTTTTTAATAGATTTTTATTTTGAATTCGCAAACCTACAGACTTTTATACTATCGTTACTTGAACATACCCTTTGAATAATTCGTGAAGGCTGTTTCAGTGTTCCTTTGATTTTTTATGTGAATGATTTTGAATGCCAAGCACACCTTATGAAATACTAATATACAGTTAGTTGGAACGTGTATATGATAAATCTTCATCATTGACAATTTCTCACAATGTTTTCATCATTTTTCCAATTTTTAGCTTGTTTGTCAATCGCATGATTGTCTCTTGATAGCAAATGGTTTAGAACTGCTTTTTACAATGTTGCATCGTTCGTGCACTATGTTTGCAAATTTTCATACACCTGCACTATCACATCCAGGAGTAGAAATCCCCATAGAAAAGCATTCTAATAAACCGGTAACTTACCCACTTAGTTTTGGACATTGTTTACTGGCTCGTCTATTCAAGCATCCTCAGTTCTGCTCGTCCTCACCTCATTCTTCTATGTTAATGGAGGTAGGTGTTTTTTAAACTTGTTTTCATCATATAGTTGCGTTACTTTCAACTTTAGTTTTTATCTACCTGACACATAATAGACCTAGGTATTCATGTTTAAATGTTATCTCACGTTAAATTTCATCCGTAAAACGTTACGGTAATATATAGGGATCTTCAAGGCTCAAAACGCATAAACAGCCTAATCAAACTATCATAAAAAAGAATATTTGAGGAACAGACCGAGGTCATATACCATTGATTGACCATTCATCTGAATCTCCGGAACTCTGTCTATCCTTTGGGTGGTCATAGATATAACTCATCCTAATCTACGCAGAAGATATTTGTATATCAAACTTTCAACTCTTCCAGATCAACTCCTGCATCATCGAGAAGAACATTGTTTGTTCACCATGCATTATTTTCAATTCTCAACGATGTAATGATCGGAGTATTATGAAAATATGTGAAAATATAGACATACTAAAAGCTTTTAATGTCGTTCTAAAAATCTTGATCTCAGTTATATCAGTGTATACGTGATGAGGCATCGTTTTTGATTATCTACCATTTAAAAACACAAACTTGCGCAATATACCCGCCAAGACGTGCATCGTACAAAACAATATAGCAACATTAAGAAGACAGAAAATGGAATAAAGATTGGAAAACACAACCTTGAGAGCTTGTTAAAAAACAGTCTCAATGATGGATTTAAGGAAACATTCGCTGCTTTCGTTTTGCTATCTAGTAATAAAAGAAAAAAGAAAACGGCCACATGTTTCAATTCCTAGTCATATCTGTCATCGTCTAGGACTTCTGAGTTGCATAATCTCTCGGACCCCATCCAGAGAGTCATAAGACACATACATATGCTAACTCAACTCAGTTATGCTTCATTTAAGAAAACCAAGTCACTAGCCACTTATCTGCTTCTTATAATCTATCCAAGGGCAAGCGGAAAGTTAACCTTGTCGAAGCTTCTTCGATAACATGTATAATATGCATCTAAACTACCGAGACTGGTGTTTGAAAATGACTACACTCAAGAAATGATTATCTCCATCATATCCATATACACCTCGCCCCACCTCAGAATTCCATACATGTTGCTTCCACTGGATGCGGACAATCCTGGGGAGACAAAGGTGATCGATCACGCAGAGTTGTCAAACGTCTCTAGCCTTGAAATGCCAGGCTTCAAAGGCCTATAGGTATGCTTGACTCACTAACTCGTTTTATATCAGATCTTTTACAGCAAGATCAATGTCAAGAAGGTACTAAACGTGATCCGGAATAGCATATACCACTTTGGCCTTCGATTTATCGTTGGGAATCTCATCAATCGCACTTCAGTCATCCCTCACACAATTTCCAACGACTCGCCACTGAGGATGACTGCAGAAACAGACTTCCTCTTAACCCTACAGAAGCACTTTACACTCTAATGGTGGGAAGCTCAGACCAACTTTTCGAACACTGGTCGCTGACTGATTGAGTGCGATGTAAAACGATGTCATGCTCGGCATGCTCTTGATTGAAAATTATTTAAGCCAATGAATGGTCTGCACCACTACCGCCACGTACTTTCTTCTGAGTTGGCTCGTGAATGTCATCGATGGCCTGTTCAAGAAAAAAGATAGTGAAATCGGGCTTACCTGCTTAACCTACTATTTGTTGGCAACAATAGATTCAAGTCACTGTATAGATCTTTCAAAATGTTTAAAAACTCAGGAAAATAGTAGTCCGCAACCGACGATTGAAGGGCGCAGTCCTATCTAGCAAATCGAAATCATCCCTAAAATCAATAAACACAACTATTGTCCGACTGAAATACGTGTGACGGTGCTGGAGCATCTAGAGAAAGGTAAACACATGCCAGTGAATCCACGACCTAAAGGAAACCCAGCCTGCTCTTTGCGAATCAGTTTTGATGCATTTTACAGAGCCTATATTGAGGATGATATGATAATCTTGATATGACTATGGGCAATAAATTGTCTCGGAAACGCAATCCAGTAAGTAATACCGTTCCACTGTGTGGTGAACCTAGTGAATCAGTTGGATTGAAACTCTGTCACATGTACAAGAACAACCAGTAACATTAGAATGAATCTTCCAGTTAGCACAATCATTTCTAGAAACCGCATGAACAACTACCAAAATAACCGACAAAGTTTAACGATTTCGTTTGGAAAGTCTTTTCTGATAAAATACAGAAACCTAATTAACTGTTGGTTTCCATTACTTGTGTAGTTACTAGGATGGCCTTTAGAGGAACGTGTTATTACTCAGACATATGTACTGGGTTAAAAGTTGATTAAGCAACTCAGCATGACTCACTAACCCATGTTTACGTCAAGTGATAATTAATGATTGATAGAATTTTATCAGCGACAAGGACTGAACAAAATGAAGTTGGTTACCGTGCTGTGACCAATGGATGTGCCTACCTGAATTATCAAGCGTCACCACGATTCAGTAAAGAAGTTAGATATAATAGGCCGTAATTTAATGTTGTAGCGTTTAAGCACGAGTGACTCTAAGAGCCATCTTGACATCTACTGAAATAACCAACTGGAGTTGTGTATTTTGTGAAAAAAACCACTTTTTCATTTGAAATAGGTTAACATGGTTAGTTATTTTAGTCACCTCTAGGTTGGCTTATGAAGTTACTCTCGAGCAGCAGTATGGTAATTTACAACCGGAAAGTAAAAGGCCAAATTCAAACTACTTATGTACCGTTATTAAACATCTGATGTTTACTTAAGTATGGTGAAACTCTCACCATCGCATTCATAAAAACTGTGATGATGGCTTCAGATTTCGAATGAATATGAACCGTATATGTGGGGAGTAAACGTGCACACAAGTGAAGAACAGTGCGTCTACCTAAGCTGGAAATAATAAACCTCTATGTATTAGAGAGTACAATAACGCTCCAGTTTATCCACAAATGCATAATTCTGTCATAATAATAAGTCGTTCAGTCTTTTGAATTTTGAACTTAGTTATTCTTGCACAAGAATAAAGTGGCCTTCAAACTATTTTTCCTAACTGACTATATATATACATGGTGGAAATAAGAGATTCTGCCATCCTTGAGTAGCTGGTTCAATAACCACGCAGCACAGGCGATTGCAGCAAAGACAAGCTTTCCTTTCGATGAAATCATTCTCTTAGCTCTACATTTATGAATATATAGTTAAAAGCGTAGAACATTTCAGAGAATTTTCTAGTCAAAGGTCAATATAAATTGCTTCACGTTGCCTCACGTAGTGGGGAAATAAACAAAATGATTACACAGTAGAAATAGTTACATCACATAGGAGTTGTCTAGAGTGATCGATACCTTCAAAATTCTGTGTTAAGTGCGTCCAAGTCACTCGAGAGGACTGAGGCTAGGACATCCGGGTATAACTGAAGCATTGGGGTTCAAAAGTTCAAACCATCAATATACGTTCAAAAGAAGTATGTACAGCTGGTTCTTTGCTATGGTCATTGTAAGGTATCGACCACTTTAGATAACTCCCATGTGATGTAACTATTTCTACTGTGTAATCATTTTGTTTATTTCCCCACTACGTGAGGCAACGTGAAGCAATTTATATTGACCTTTGACTAGAAAATTCTCTGAAATGTTCTACGCTTTTAACTACATGTTTACAAATGTAGAGCTAAGAGAATGATTTCATCGAAAGGAAAGCTTGTCTTTATTGCATTCGTCTTTCGTGTTTACCTATGATCAAATGGGATTATTTCGATGTCGTCAAAGCACTAATATTCTAAATTGGACGAAAAATCTGTGTATGATATCCAAAGGAATAGTCTATAAAACTGCTGGAAATGATAATATGCGTGGTCACTTTACAGTATTTGTCAATTTTGCATGTTTCTTCAAGTGTTCATGTTTTTCTGATTTCAAAGAAATCGGATTTAGAAGCTCACATCAGGCTATGAATTAACACTAGTAAGCACACCATATTTTATAATTCCAACCGTAATTTTAACTCTTGAATCGAAACATTCGAATTAAAGCAGAATTTTATTTCTTATTAACTCATAAAACGAAAAATATAGTGACCGAATAGTTTCAATTTTGTGAGTTAATTTTAAACTCTTATACTTTAAAAGTTAACCCATAAAACTTCATTCTATATTAGATTGTTTATTTAATATAGCACACAGTGAAAGAGTATTCTTAACTGGGCTAACGTTTCGAGCAGAATATATTGCTCATACTCATATATCAAAGTAATCATACAACTTTCAAACTTGAGTTATGTAGTCCAACAGTTCGTCATTCTCTTATGTTAGTGACAATAAAATTTCCCAGATATTTGAATTGCTTGATAAATAAATCTTCACTACCGGTATCTGGCATGTTGCTATGTAAGCTTAATATGGCGCGCTAGATTAAAAATATTACAAAATTACTCATCGCATACACTGTTTGAACGGAATAATGACCACTAACATCAATCACGCTGCATAAACCTTATAAGGTAACATGCCGGATACGAGTTCTCATAATTCCTGTTACATGTATTAATTCTGCCGATATTGCCAGTAATACTGTTGTAACTCCGTCGATCATCAATTTAGTAGAGTGTGTATATACAATTATAAAATATATTGTAATCGATACCAGTTTATTTTCTCAACTGCAGGTTCTATTCAACGAAATCATTTTCACATTTCCAAACAAAAGCTTACGGCTCAATTCTACTGACCAAAGATCAACGTCAACTCAGCAATATTTGCACTTGATTATGGATCCAGGTTTATTACGTTGTATTTCATTGTTTAGTTCACGAAATTTCTGGTATCCCCTACCTCAACAGGAGTTTGAATTTATCTCTGATCATAGGAAACTTTTCAGTTCATCAATACCACTCATAAAATCTTCAATATTCAAGTATGGATTAATACCAGCAATATTTGAAGTATTAGTGAATTCTGAAGGAATGCATAGCTCAAACTCAATTATCATCACATTATACAATTTTTATACAATAGATCGTTGGCAGTTGATCATGACTTCGCTAACGGGATTTCGAGTAAGTCATTTAACAACCATATAAGAGTAATCTTAAGCATTCTGATGCAGTGTAACTGCAGATTAAATTAGTTTTTGTGGCCAGTGCACACAATGAAATAGTTATTTACTGCATGAAATTTCGAGCACGACTTATTGCTTATAATTATATCGAAATCACTTTAGGAGAAAACAAATTATGCTTGAAACTTCATCCAGTGAATAATACTGTATCACTGTCTTGGTTGTATTCTGTTCTCTAAGCTGGGTTGTTTCACACTGAAGTTAGAGCTGATGTCGTCTGTACTTTTCTTTACTTCAAGACTCTCAAACGTTACAAACGTTAACATTAATTTGTCCTAATTATGAGCAGAATCCATAAATCACCCTTCATTCTGTTTGACTCGTGTATACTAAATGTGTCTACGTCCTATTTAGTGTTAGTATTTACGTGGAGCTGGAGGGTAGTCTGCAATGCTTTTTACTTACGTTACTTACCTCTTTTACTGTGAGTTTGGATTGTTGTTCGTTTAAAATTTCCCGCCACTTATTTCATTATTTCGTGTTATGTATCCTCTTATTCTACGGTTGTCTCACTAGAACTATTTTTCTCACGTTACTGATTCTATTCATGTACAAATATCGAATAGCGTGATTGACGTTTATATTTCTGCGCTACGTTGCCTGAAGGAGCTGATGATATGAGATTTGTTTTCTAATGCCTTCTAGTTACCAGTGTTTCTCTAGCTGATATCATCCTTTGATGAAAACTATTAAGTAGTTCAGTAATCCATTGAAAGTGATGAGCATTTTTCACTTTTGTCTCTTACTCTATTTCCATTTAGGAAACATTTCTAGAAGATAATCATTTCATGGAAAAAAGTGTCATCAGTCAAGAACGTTTCAAACAGTATACGCAAAATTGGCCTATTCATTCTTTAGTGAGTTTCATTACCAATCGTCTTTCACTGTCAGTAATATTCAGTAACGGAACCATAAGGGGTGAAGATGGAGGAGGAACATCCAAGACAGCAGCAGCAGCTTTCAGTGCCGACAGCAGCAACAAGAAATACAGTGAATACATTTACTCCTTTGGTCATTCAAAACGTTCATGTCTACAGGATCTCTGTCGCTTAATCATCAATCTAGATGCTGACATGTATTTATCTGCTGCTGAACGGGTTTTCTACACAATTTATGATGATTTCGAAAATGAAAATAATAAAAGTACCCATACTCCTCACGGTCAGCTTAAAAATAGAAAGCAGCTGAATACCAAATCGTCAGTATCAACATCACCACTGAGACTATTGAATGATGACTGGATATTTTGGCGTCAAACAACCGGGAAGTGTTTAAATTACTCGGAACGTTTAAACATATGGAAGTATTCGTTATCCATTGAGAAAACCAAAAGGTTCATGAAGACTTGATGAAGGATAAATGTGAGTACAAGCTTATTCCTTACTTATTTTAGTCGCTGTGATAAACAAGTTAGCATGTTTTCTCCACACTACTCAGAGGGCAATAGTCAGAGACTGCATGTTGTTATGTTATATTTTTTGGTTGGTCAGTCTTCCTCTGCTCCATCTGGATATCGGATTGATGAGTGTTAGGCCTGAAAATAGCGCGAACTCTTTACGCTCGAGTCTTTTTAAATTGTTGAGCGTACTGACCACCCATAGAGTGTCATCATCCCACTTATATTGACTTTCTTGAAGCCTTGGTCCAGATTTTGAATGTTGACGTAGCATTTACAAATTTACGTCCTAAGAGATGCAGATAAGATGTCTGGTTGTCATTATAAACATGTTTTTTTATTGTGGTCAGTTGTGCCTACCGATTTGTACGTTGAGATAAAACGTGTCGAGAATGCTCGGATTTTCAAGCGTTCGGTCAACTGGTATCGACGTCTGGCCAACGACGTCTGAATCTTGACCTTTACCAGAAATTACCATTCTGTCAGTGCAAATGTTTGCTGATAGTGTAATCTTTATAACATACTGGTAACAAAGTTTTAAAGCCTAACTCATTTGTTCTTTTCTCTTACTGAAGCTACCCAGATGTTAAATTCAAAACCCTCATCTCAAACCATAAATGAACTTAACTTTTCGCATAACCTACAGTCGGGCACTCACGATACTAGCATATTCCCTAATGCCTTGGATGATACTAATCTAAAGGAAACAGAAAGAATTCAGATACACCAACAATGCCAGTTTAATAGTGAAGATGACAAGTCAGTTATAGATATTTCTTCAGCTGATATGAAGGTGATTTCTGACTCTGGTGTAAGTATATCATCGTTACCTATTATTGAAAGTCATCCAATGAAATCGGATAATAGTGAATCTGAAATCCCGAACAAAGGTTAGTTATTGTATCTCTTTTTGTGTGTATATTTGTTAATATAAACAAGTGTAGCGTTCGTATGTGCGTCCTTCGTCGACCGAGAAGCAATTTGGAAACTCCTTCAACTCTACGTCGTACCACAAAACTTTATCAATCGCATCCAACAGCTATATGAAGACGGCACATGCCAAGTGATTCACAACGGAAAGCTCAGTGACACCTTTGAAGTAAAGACAGGAGTAAGACAAGGTTGCTGTCCACTATCACCGATGATCTTCCTGATTGTGGTGAACTGGACAGGATCGTACAGCAAACTGTGAGGAGCAAGAAGATGAACATACACTGGCTGGACCGATGAGAAGACCCCAGAGGAAGATTCGAATTTCGCCGATGATGATTTATGTCTTCTTTACTATTTCGCACAAACTCGAAGACCTACAGGCGAAAACTAACAAGTTGACTGTAGAGGCAAGGCGAGGCAGCGAAAACGGGATTCCCCTCAGATGAATGTAGAGAAGACAGAGGTGATGAAGATACCCAACCAACGTGACCACCACCACCAACAAGCACCAATCACCATCAACGGGAGAAACTGAAATGAAGTAGCCACTTTAACCTATCTAGGCAGCATCGTTTCAACTACGGGCAGCGGCACAGATGAGGATGTCAAAGCCACGATCGGAAAGACAACAAGACAGGCCTTCATTAGCCTGAAACCAGTGTGTAGATCTTCTGCATTCAGCATAAAGCGTGAACAACATCTGGATTTTCAAGACTAATTCAGTCAAGTCAGTGCTTCTATATGGTTCAGAAACTTGGTGTGTCACGAAAAGTATTTCCAACAAACTACAAATATTCATCAACAGCTGCCTGCGCTCGTTACTAAAGCGCAGATGACCAGAAAGAATAAGCAGCAAGGAACTCTGGCCCGGAGGAGAACCAAATAAGAAGCTATCGCTGAACAAATATGCAGAAGGAAGTGGAGATGTATCGGGCATGCACTAAGAAGACCGATTGGGGACATCACGCGTCAGGCCAGTCCCTTTAGTGGAACCCGCATGGGAAACTACGAGTTTGGCGTCCGAGGCGAGGGTGGCAGGGAGGGGATCGTGTGTGGATAGAATGAAAGCTTCTGGGCAGTGATGGGGCCAGGTTTAAAAGACTGCAGAAAACGGAGTGGAATGGCGACGTGCTACTGAAGCCCTATGTTCCACTAGCAACCCATAGGACAAGAAAAGTTTTCTTTTAAAATAAACGAAATCACAGACTAAACTATACCTGACTAAATTTCACATTTCCCCTTTTTCTGTCATTTCTAACAACAGCCAATACACTACAGCTTACAGAAGCAAGGATATTCATAGCTGCCCACGAAGGTAGTCATATATGATGACTTATTTTCGATGGAATTGAAGAAGGTTAACTAGAGCTTGATAGTATAAAAAATTCTTAGAAATCATAACTTTTGATTTCGTATTATTTTTTTTAAACAGTTCCTATCTTATATTTATCCCTCTCTTGAATGTGTTCATTTATGCGTTCTATGACAGATACTGCTGTTGTCGCTTTAAGTAAAGGTGATGAAGGAAATAAATCTGATGAAACAGACGATGCGGATAAATTTCTGCTAAATTTTGTTCGAATACGTGTGGAACAAAATGGTGTACTGTCTGCTCAGCTCATAAATTGTTTAGACACTGTATGGCATAGACATTTTCCACTGAATTATTGTACAAAGCATATTTGGGGAATAAAATGAAGCATGCATCAATGACACTGAAAGTTGAAGAGGATAGGAAGGAGGCGACAACTGAGTTATCTTCCAAAGAAGGATTCATAAAGATCTTCAAGGAAAACTCTCATCAGCCGAATTACTGGCAACTGTTCAAATTGAAATCAAATTATGCCTTACTATCACATATTGTTATTAATTCCTCAGTTTCATCCACCTGTTATGCTTCAGTTCGTCCACCTCTATGGCTTATCTACAGTTTAATAAGACACCCACTATTATCTCTCCGTGAAAGTGTAAGTTTTATGAACTAATTCATTTTATTCTGTTTTGCAAATACTGTCAGGTGAAGGCGTTAACAAAAATGCAGTCCTCTGGACATCTTGATCAATACTCTGATTATGTTTGGTATACATTTCATAATTCAGACTTCAAATGATGCCACAAAACTGGTTTGCATCGACTACTATTTCATGAATGAGGCATAAAATAGTGGAGTGAGTTGACTATACCACCGAACCTAGAGATGATCAGAACCATTTTGGAAAGCACAAACTTCTTAGCTCGGACCCCTAAAATGTTGAAAACCATTGTTTCCAGACTCTTATTGATGTGCCGTAGAATGGCTCATACTGGGGTAAATGCTCTTACTGTCCATCATTTTCGGAAAATGAAACATTGTGTTCGGTTGCATCTGTACCGCTGTTATAGATCTGGTGTTCTCTGAGCTTTGATATTTTGCCGTTGACGTTGCATTACCAGACTTGGTAACGTCTTCAGCACTAACTTCATAAAGAAGTTAAACACATTCGGATTTTCATATGGTGTTTGTATTGATCTTGGGTGTGCTTCAACTGTAAGTAGGGAAAGAGATTTTTTGCTACACCTTGACCTCTCTGACCTTAAATTTCTTTCAGTCACACTAGTAGATAATCTTTCTTGGAATGCAGTTGTGCTGCTTGTTGTTGTCACAGTGTACATCATCATTGATTTTCTGGGTCAGTTTGCCCCTTCGTTGAGGGATCACTTTTTTTTTTCTTTGTAGATTGGGTCTATATCAACATGCCTGTTGATTGACATTTCGTTTGAATTCTGTGTTTCTAGAAGTTCTTTAGCAAACTTTAAACCTACTCTTTGGAGAATTCCCACATTCTCCCGGTCTAAATCGTGCTTGTGATTCTCTACTTGCGTTCAACTAAGGAAGCCATGTCGTGTCACTTTACTGTTAGTTGGTGTTCATGAATTCTTTAAGCAATCTGACGGCTATTGATTTTGTTGATTATATTTGTCCTATCTTCTTTTAGCAATGGATCCTTTGGTTTGCACAACATGCCATGTAGTGGCGTTTTTTGCTATTCTGATTCCGAAAGGAGGAGACAATCGGTTGACTGTTTTTGAGATATTTTTGATGTAGGGTAGTGTAACGCTTCAATTAATTTAAGGTAACTGTTCTATCTTTTGTCTTGCTGTTAAACATATTTTGATAAAGTTGAGTAGTTAACCATTGGCTTTGAACACTTTGTACAGGTACTTTTCCTGGTGCTTCAGTGCTGCGATATGTTTCGCCTCTTGAGAATAATGTTTGTGCACAACATTTTTATGGGCTGTAAGATGGTTGCCGTTCCAGTTCAAAATTTGATATGTATATGTGCTTTTGCAGTACGCTTGAGTTTGTAAAGTCTGGTAGTGTGTTATGCTAATGTGGGACATCCAAGAATAGAATTTTGTTGTTGGCTTCTTCCTCCTTCGTGAAATGAATTCCTTCAAATGTTTGGTTAGTTAGTTGGAACATGTTTTCTATCTGATATTCCTCAAGAATTATGAATCTGTCATCAACGTGCTGAATCCAAACTTTTGGCTTGATGAGAGAGATAACTATTGATTCCAGCTGTAGCCATCACAACTTCGAAAATCAGTCTTGATATTGGTGATCCCACTGGTACCCCTTTTGTTTGTTTGTAAATCTTCCCATTGAATTGTAAATAGGTCGTGAGACATATATCAACCCTATTAGGTTTCGAACCGTGAGTTTCGTATGGTCAGAAAGGGTTTGGTCGTTTTTCAAAAGAATGTCCATCATCTCCTTGGCTACATTTGAGTTAATTAAGGTGAAGAGAGATAGATCGGATGCTTTAAAATATATTGAGCAATTGTTGTATATCAAGTTGAAACTGAAGAAACACTCATGATCTTAACACATTGGTCTGTGTTTCCCCCCACGTGGCTTTTTTCCTCTTTCCAGCACCAACCATTTTCCGTCGATATTATCTTGGAATTTTCCCACATCTGAGCTAAAGGACAGCATGATATTGGTGAAACATCATCCCTAAGTTTCTGGAAATGTATTCTGAACTGGATTTTTGAATATCCAACTTCCATTTTCTGAGTTAGAATGAAAATCCTACCTTAGGAAACCAAACTCTAACATCTCTGTCTGTAAAGGAATGTTTATACAATACTCCTATTTTTGAAGTTAGTTTCTATTTTGAACTCACATTCATGCACTACCGAATGATATTGGTAAGCACCCACCTGACTCCCAGCTTCTTTGACCCCACAGGTCACGAATTCACATGAGAACTTTGTGAACCCATCGTGAAATAAGTCACTAATGACCGCTTGATACCAAATCAGTTGTTGCTTCGTTTGGATTTATTGATCGCAACTTAATTTCATCATATGTCACGTCATTTGGGAAAATGCTGAAGAACTGGTAGTAGCAACCAGTTGTTTTTCCCCAGTATATGACTCCTTATTATTAGAAATGTTGTTACGAAGAACGTAAAAGACACTTTAGGAATAATTTGCTAGACTGGCAACATCTTCCTTCTGCTGAGTAAAATTCCACTGAAGAATATATACTACTAATGAGTGATAAGTTAAATCCCAACTTAGTTTGCATGCTTAGTTAAATGCTGATGGGTAGGTTGATAAATAAACGCATTTTTAATTTCGTTCAGTGTAATTAAGAGTTGATTATCATTCCGTTTCTACTCACGTTTTGTTCATTCCTTCATCATAGGCTCTTAGTGGTTATTGTGTGTGGTTACATTTTGAAGCAAATAAATGGATTGAACGATGTGAACGTTTATCAGTGAATTTCAGCCAATCAGCTTATTTTGATCTTTCGATTCCTACGACACAGTCACATACAATTTTGCCACCACATTTTTCAAGAGTACGTGCGTTTGCTACAGGATTATTATCACCAACATCACCATTATGGTGTGTACCTGATCCGCACTTGGAAACCGACTTGAAAGTTTATCAAAATCGTCATCTATGTTCAGTCAAGTTATTGAACAGAGCATTTGGTTTAATTTTACATGGATTAGGGAAATATGCTTCTATTGAGGATTTTGAAATAGTTACTGATGATCAACTTGGAACATTTGTTGGTCAATTTATGGTGAGTGCCTTTCGTTTCCTTGTTTATTTTGATAACAGTATCTCTTACGTCATATGGTAGATGATTGAGTCCAACTCATAGATCACTTGTTTGCTGCCTACGGTCACCTAACCGTCATATTCTATAGTTTAATCATCACATTGTCTAAATATTTTTACCATGAGAGATTATTTTGACAGAATACAGGCGTGTAACGCTGTCTGTAATTTAATCCCGTTTTAAATGATTCAGGAGAAAGCTTGACCCGACCTAATTACATTGTAAGTGAAGCTCCTGCTGTTCACGAAGTTTTCTGAACTAGGTAAAATTATCTGCCATTCATCTAAGGTATTTGATCATAGGTATCGATCTTCGCTCTAATCAGATGATCTTTTTTCACTTCTTTTTTTTCATTGTTAAAACCTATGCATATCCTGGATCATCAGTAAGGTATGTATGTCGAAACTACTTGGAACCTCGATTTCAGTCTGCTTTGATTGAAGATGAGATGAAAATTTGGACCGCGGCTGGATTCGGACCAGCTACCATGGGGTTTCTGACTTGATTCTCTACCAACTGAGCTACGAGGTAGAGCATCGGGCCGGAAACCCGGCGGTCGCTGGTTCGAATCCGGCCGCGGTCCAAATTTTCATCTCGCCTTCAATCATCAGCCAGTATAATCAGCATTCTGTTCCGAAGAAGGACGTTTGCATCACGCTACCACATAAAGCAATCAAACATATTCTTAAGACAAAGGCCTAATTCAGTCATTAAAAAGACATACTATACAGCCAAACTCACTATTACAGAGTAAATGAAACCTATGCTTATAATTAACCTCATCCCTACACAGATGATTACATCACATCCCGTTGTGTATACCAATTTACATGTATGTATGTGGTGAAACACACATTGGGAGGAGAGATCGAGCTGTGGAGTAGATGGTGGTGGGGCATTTCGCTAAATGGCTAGAAAAACAATTACATTCAAAATATCCGATCAATACAGGGAGCAGACCGACATTATCCTCGATGGGTAAACATATTATAGAAATAGGTCACAGGACTGACCCCAAAACAGCATTTAGACCATTGTATAGGAACCGCCAAGACCGTATACTTATGTTCACTGAAACCTTAGCTCTACGAAAGTTCAAATGCCTTATATGTATTCAAAAACAATTTGTCCTCGCCTTAAACCTCGGTAATCTTTATCTCATTTTAATGCCAAGGGAGGTGTGAAAATGCACTATTCTTCCTTGTAATGTATTTCAAAGTGAATAGGAATTTTGATTTTGAGGTGGTATTTATCTTGCACTAACATCAGTTGGAGAACCATTGAGAAACTGGGACCATTGGACATCGGTTCCGTTCTAATACGGGACTCTTCATCAGCACGCACCCACGACCCGGCTAGAGATCGAACTCAGGACCTTCAGGTTTCACGGCGAACGCGTTAATCATTCAGCCACTGGATCGCAGTTCAGTAGTTCACAGTTTCCAACTTCAATCAATTCACGATATAGCGCAACTATTACCCAAGGTCTTTGCCTCCCTTCCGGCTGGTCGACTTCACAGGTCACTGCTTCTCATTACAACTTCGTGATATCCACCTAGAAGCATGTCACTTATGAGCATTATACAGTAATATATTCTAAGGTGAATGGGGATTTTAATTTAGAGGCAGTATTCATCTTGGACTGACATCAGTTGGAGGAACATTGAAAACCTGGGAGCACTGAACAGCTGTTTTGTCCCAGTATTATTGTCCCTATATTTTCCAGGTCTTGTATTATCCCAATCTACTTATCTTAACCCACCCTATTCTCATCCTGCATATTAAATGTCTTGACAAGTAAACCTGTGATCGTATTGTTCGAAATGTATGTGGCGAATACATAGCATTTCCCAGATGACCTCCGTCTTCTTATTACATTTTCCAAATTAATATTTTATGGTGAAATGATTCTCTGACTTGCTCGGCTTTTCTTCTTCGCGCATTGTAACGAATTACTCTGATAATAGACTTTCTTGTGTGTGGCTGGCGAATAATCCCTGCTGAGTAAATTGAGTCAGTACAATACCGAATGGTTTGTCAGTTAATGATAAATCTATTCTTTCCTTGTGGTTATCCTCCGTTTCTTCTCAACATAAAATTGTCGGTCATTTCGCGTATTGTTTATCATATATAGGATATTTAAAACTGTTAGTTGTCCAATCCTGAAAGGGATGAAATTGCACTCTAGTGTTTAGATCACTCTTATATGGCTTAGTCAGTCTATACATTAGCATTAGTGCTTTCTAACTACTTGTGTTTTTCAGTAACATATTTTTTCTAGTTCATAGCACGTAATGTTAGCTGTCGAAACGTATGATATTTGTTGAATAGTTGAAAAATTATTCCAATATTAGAACTGTTAACGTGAAATTTGAGAATTATACATAATTTTAGTAAATACTGGGTGGTAAGAGATTGAGTCGTTCATTATACAGTCACTTATGGAAATGTCTTTTGTGAAAACACAGACTACTATACCATCATTCACTAATTCATAAAATTTTAGTCATTGGATTAGGATTCATTATTTGTGTTTCGAAACTACGGTGGATTCGTTAAGTGGTGTCATCATCATTCGCTTTCATTATTGGACATCCGTTTCCTCACTAAGTCCATGTTGCTTTCCGAAGTTGTATATATTTTGCCATGTAACGTAGATCCGGGATGTTGCTGTAATGGATGTAGTGAATAGTTAGATTTTAAAGTTTAAAATTACCATAGTTGTGGATATTTCCAATTTTTCGATGGTATATTTTTAAAAGTACTGGAGAGTACTCAATTTTATGTTGTCTAGTCCTGACCATATTCTATCGATCATTTCACATTGTGGTCACCAAGATAAAAGACTGACTATAACACTCCACGTTGACAGATATTATTTGGTTGTGAGCAATTGGTAGGAATCCCTGAAACCAGATTTCGTGCTTGTTGGCACTCATACGTAATGTGTATCTACAACCTTAGTGGAACTGATATCCTTTCAAAGTCACTAACTCTTATACAATAGGTGTGACTCATTGTGTAGTACATGTGTTTGTATAGTGGCGATAAGAGAGTTTAGTTCCTCTTATATCTTTGAAGTCTCTTGATAAAAAGCATGTGCCCATTTACACTGAATCTTTTCCATGTTGGCTCAGCGTTCAAAGACTTGATTATAGTTTTGACCTCTCCTATACTCATTAAAGGTTAAGAAACAGGTATCTACCATTGCAACTTCTGTATACAAAAAGTATGGTTCATGACCAAGTGCACAAAACTGTCTGCTGTTACAAACTATTTATTTAATTAACCTCATTGTAAAGACATTAATATTTAAAGCTTAGCCTTATTGTCGTTGGAAACCGCTGTGTACTACCGAACAAAAAGAACATGAACATTTTGCACCTACTATTCGTCCTTATTTTTCCGATGTTGCATTAAAGTTCTAAAAGTGTACGATCATAAACAAAACCCGTTTAATAAGTTAAACTGGTAGTTTTTCAAATTTCTTCTGAAAGAAATATGGACGAAATCCACACTGTGTAACACGTCAAGTTTCTTCACGAGGTTCGTCTTGAAGAGCTTTTGTGAAATGGTGTTTCATGACAATTATTACTTAAAAATATATATGCTGAGCTGTTTATTGTCCAGATTTTTGTGAAACTGTCAGACGCATAGTCATATTAAAGTGTGTCCGTCAAATACAGTACAATATGACTGGATAGCATAGTGAAGGCAAAAAACAATTCAGGACTGTTTGAAACCTTCAACTTAACAGTAGTTATGCGAATGAAGTATGCAACACCCGAATGATCCGAAAACCTTTTTTAAAGTAAGCAAAAGTTCAGAAATAATCACTGACAATACTTGGAACCCTTTAATGTAGAAGAAGGAAAAGCAATAGTGAAATGAAAATGAATTCAGAAAAAAGTTTGCTGCAATGGTTTCATACTCAATAAAAGTGTTCAAGTTGAAAAAGCAAATCAATTCCTAATATTTTTTTCTGATAATCAGCAGTACAAGCTTGAGGATTGTGGATGGAAGATTACGAACGGCTGAGATGAAGGGAAATAACATGTCTAGTACGTTTTTCACCACGAAACGACATTGTCGAAAGAAGTATGTAATTATGTATCGAGATTTTCAACTAATCAACAGGTTTGCATCCATCACTTTTTTTGTAATACAATACAGGATCCCTATGTCTCATATTGAGCATGTTGTTCTGAAACCACTTGGTTAAAATCCTGGAAATTTATCAGAGAATATTTGTTCTCACTCGCCTGTTAGCTGATTCAGCAAGTAGTGACTGAAGCGGCCTAAACTTTCAGCTACCAACTGAAAAGTTACAATTCGTTCAATTCACTTACTTCAGTCTAAATCGCCTCACGCATCAACTTTAACTCTAAGCGTAGAACACATTTAAAATGTACGTCGTGTTGCATCATCATCCCAATGTAATTAGTAATTCAATGGTTAGTAAAACCATCGATCGCTGATAACCTTTACAGGACAGACGGCTAAAACGTTAGGCAGAACATTTGAAAACACAATTCAACTGACCTTCAACAACACCTGAGCTTCCGAACATCCACACTGAACCTGAATGGAACATAGATGTCGATCCTGCAACTTTCCTTGAAATTGAGAAAGTCGCATCGAATGTGAAACGATGCGAAGCAGCAGGACCTGACTGTTCGCAAGTCCAAGCTTTTAAGGATGGAGATAGGGAATCGCTGACTAGATTGATGCAGGTATGTGTAGTGTATGGGAATCAGAGGTAGTGTCATTTAATTGTTCTACTTCTCTGATCATCCCGGGGTATAAGAAAGGGAAAAAATCTTCTGACAACCACACACGTTTGACCAATATTATGTTCAAAATTTTTACGTATATAGTCATGTGAATTAACGACAGCTAGTAGTGCTCACCAGGAATGTCCACTTTCACCGTTGCTATTTAACTTCGTCACGGACGTAGTGGTTGACATAACTCTGTGTACGTCCGATCTTACAACGACTAAACCACTCCCTAGAGGTTGTCTGGTTGACTTGGAGTATGCAAATGATGTTGTTTTGCTGGGTGAAGATGCTGACGAATTGCGGGATCTTCTAGATGCTTTGAGAAGAAATCTGAGTATGTTTGGCATGCGTTTCACCGGCACCTGTCAAATATTAGATGATGTTCCTAGACTGATCTGCTGCAATAACTCCCAGTTTAATGACAGTGACCACTTCCTTTACTTGGAGAGTTGCATTGTACTAAACGGACTGGTTACTGACGAAATCTCAGCTCGGATACAGAAGGTCCGTTCGGCATTCGCCAACATGTATCATCTGTGGCGCCGATTGGTGAGATATCCGACTATCTATTAAAGGATCAGTATACTGAGCTGCACTCCGTTCTGTCTTGTTGTATGGCTATGAAACATTGCCACTGAAAGTAGAAAGCACGAAGCGATTTTAGGGTTCTGATCATTCATGTCTTCGTAGCATTGCTGGCTTTTGATGGAATCACCATGAGAGTGATGTTAAGGTCAGGCAAAGGGTAGTAAACAGAAAAACAGGTCGGTTGGTAAAGTTGTAAATCTTCATCGGCTGAGGTGGCTTGGACATGTACTGAGCATGCCGACTGACCGCCTACCTCGACGCTCCATGCCAAGGGAAATTGGGTCGAGTTGGATGAGGGTTCAGAGTAGCCAGACCAGGACCTGAAACCAATCGATAAAGCCTCTTATTGTTGGTATGGATCTTATGGGGAAATGTAGACTTAAGAACTTGAGCTGCTGCCCCGTGTGTATGGTTCTAAGTTGATTTTGTCAGTCAGTGTCTTATTCTCAAACTGAAGCTTGATATTAACGCGTTGATTTTAGGTTCCTAACGTAGCTTGTTAAATAAAATAGACCACAGGTGAGCCTGAACAAGTGTCCGATATATTCTTTCTATTTCATTGGTTTTTCAACTCATACAGTTTGATGATTTTAAATGTTGCCCCTTTTAAATGTCAGTTTAATTTCTTTGATTAGTATGCATGATGTTTTCTTCTGCTGCTATTCTTTATTATTTTTCATCATTCAGGAAAATAATTGTTCCCTAGAGTCTGTACATCGAGGTGAGACTGGATTCATCTCTGAACCTGTTTACAGTCATTATCGTCATCATGCTAGTTCTTCTGAATACGAGAAGACTCTTGTCAATAATGATAATAATAATAATAATGGCGGTGATAGCGTATGGAGTAAACTGACAGTGAACAACAAAAATAACGACGACAGCAGAAACAATAAAAATGGGTGTAAAATGTCATATTTTCATAGATATTATCTATTATCCACCTTTCCTGTATTGTATTCTACATTGATTGGATGTTTTGTGGATGCGATATTGAGTCGGATTGTTAAAGTAGAGATCGAAAACAACACGGAACAGCATAATTTGAATGATGCTGTTGGTACTGAAGATGATAATAAATACAGTGGTGATAATACCACACCGGAAATTGAATTATGCAGTGATGGTTTAGATGCTTTAATCATTCTTTTACAGGTTAGTTAGTGTATGTTTTGTGTTTTATGTTATACTAGTAGTGGGGATTTACATACTTGGAAATATATATATATATATATATATATATATATATATATATATATATATATATATATATATATATATATATATATATGGTAGTGGATGTTCACACTAAGTTGATCTATGCGCAGTAGTTTTGGTTGACAAGCGTTTCGATATCACGCTTGACATCATTACAATAGTGAAAGCGAACCGTTGATGAAGACATCTAGCCTGATGCTGAAATATTTGCCAACGTTTATGACTTTTGGTGGTATATTCATCTTATATAATTTTCTAATTCGCCTCTATCGCTGACTAAGCACATGTTGAGGCCATATACAACTACTTGACTCACCCATGTATTGGTCACATGATTTTTTTGACCTCTATTCAATAGAAGTCAAGACTGATGCTCACTATCCGTTGGCTGCTTACGATCCGTGATAAACTTACATATAACGGGGTTACAAGCTCAAAACCTAGTATGATTTCGAATGATTAAATGAGGAATTCTATGCACACATCTATCTCTGGCTGAGTAGCATGGATCACCAAATACTTTGTAGGTTGGTCATAATGAGAAGATCGATAATAACTTCATCTTAGGAACAAGGGCATCATGGCAGGTTAAGGGAATCTTCAGCGCATGACCTAGGTTATGACGTATCTGGAAGTAATATGATTTCACAGTATTCCACGCAAATAAAGGTTCAGAGCAGCTAGGTTACAAGTGGGGAGAAGAGAAATGTGTTCATTCCAATATTTTATTTTTATTATGCTTTAACCCCAACGACTTTGTTACTGTGTTATAGTTTTTAATAACTAGTTCTATCAAGTCATAGGTAAATAGTATGTCACGAATCCTTCAAAGGAAAAGATTAAGTTTTGCTTTTGAATCGTTATACTTCTTACTTTAGTGATGAGCATATTACTCAAATATACAGTAGAATATACATTTTTTTTAGTCACCGTTAAACAATTGAGCAAACTTCGTTTGGGATGGAATTCCTCAGATTGCATTATCTTTTGAAGCATATAGTTTGATGGTCTCTTGAGGATGTATTTCCTCGGTTTCTGCGTTTAGTACTGAAGGATCCTAAGGGTTTATGATTGACTGATATCAAATAGCAGTACTTCCTAGACACTAACTAGACCTAGATAACCTAACAGTCAAATAGACATGTTGCTTCTATTTTAAAGTAAAACGATTTTAGAATTGTGTTTTATCTAGTTTTGGTTCCTAGAAAATCAATAATCCCCTGCTGATCAAAAGGCTGCTCGAATCAGTTTGTAGTCTGGATCTGTTGATGAAAGATTATTGTCAGTAATAAACAGAAAACCATTAACCTCAATCTCGTTGTTATCGGGTCTCATCAATAAATCAGCTTTCTTAAAATTCTTAGTCCGTTGACATTGAAATCCTCATCCAAGGTTATGCTGACCACATTTGAGTTTTCGGCTAAACAAAAACCTAATTTAATCGTAATTGTAAATGCACCTTATTGGATGAAAGATAGCAAGCATGAAACCTAAACTCAAGGTATTCAAATACTCAAAATAATGTTTTCTCAATATTTATATGCCTGTCAAATAATCTCTGTTTCGCTGAAAGACTTTGTTATACTTATTTGTAGGATTCAGATAAATGTGTTCTAAGTACTGCTGTTAAATCTGGTCTACTACCAGTGATTTTTAACTTAGCTTGGTTGCTAGAGTTCGGTATGAATAAAGTCAACTCACTGAAGAGTCATGCCAATTACATGTCTATTGACCCAGCATTAATACCTATCTTATCTGGTTTAAGTCGTTTAGTCGGTCGCATTACCAGCTGGATATTAATGGATGAGAAATTCAATACTGATGATAATACAACTAAATTTTCACAATCTCGTCATTTTGACTCTATGTCAAGATTTCAGTTGGTGATAACTTTTGTTAAGCATTTGATCGCAATGAATTGTGAATTCAACGATAATAATGATGAAAACGGAAATGTTATAACAAGTATGTCAGGCTTTTTTTTGGTGTATTGTTGTTATTGTCGCTCAAGTCGTTTGTTAGTCTTCATGATGGGCGTTTAAACAGTTCAAACAAATTAAAACCATTTCGAGAGTTATTTAGAAAACCTACTAGACACTTAACAACATTCGTTTTGTTGTTTAACATAATATTATGCAACGGAGAGACATACTAGTGCAGAATATTTTACGGAATTGCATCAGATCAAGTTGCCACTGTTGACAACATCACTGAAAAAACGGGTGAATAGGAAAAGAAAGGCGTTAAAATATTTTAACTTTCGAAGATACGAAAGCCACATCATCAAGAGCCCTCCAGCTACTGATTTCTATCATCTCAGGACCTTGGGTAGACAGTGTACATCTTCAAAAATGGCTCCCACGGACGATCGGAGACTTGATAGACTACATTCACATTTTGGTTTGGTCACCCCCACCTTCCTTTCAAAATAATCCCAACTTGATTAATATCGTGTTAAAAGGGAGGCGGCTACTTGTCATTAAAACTCCCAACTGCTCACTTTGTGTTTCCAACATATGCGGCTTGTGATATGAATATAAATGGTCAAAGACCTGTAATGTCCTCATATCTTCCATCCTCAATGAAAACCATAGTGAAGGACAGACTGGACTACTTCACCATCTGTTCGTCCTCTGATTTACAGTCTAATATCTAGGAGACACCAGCAGCCATTTAAATTGATAAATGATAAACAAGCCTTTCATATCAAATCTCAGATTTTGTAACGAATCTATCCACTTCACTGTATTTTACTTTTTGGACAGCAAAAGTTTACCAATCTATGGGGATAAAAGTTTGCACTTAATAAGATGTAATTTGATATATAATTATAATAACTAATATTTGTTTCTTGGGTTCTTAGTGGAACATAGGCTTCAGTAGCACGTCGCCATTCCACTCCGTTCTCTGAAGATTTTTTAACCTGGCTCCACCACTGCCCAGAAGCTTTCATTTCTTCCTCACATGATCTCCTCAATCTCACCCTCGCCTCGGGCACCCAACTCGTCGTTTCCCACGCCGGTGCCCCTCGAGGGCCTCACCTGGTGCGTGATGTCTTTAAATGGTCTTCTCAGTGTATGCCCAATCCAATCCAATCCACCCCCACTTTCTTCTGCATATTAGTTGGGGGATAGGTTCTCAGTTAGTTGGTTCGTTGCTCAACCAAAGTTCTTTGTTCCTTATTGTTATTATTCTGGCCACCTGATTTTCAGTATCGACTGGGCGCGGGCAGCAGCCTTTGATGAATGTTTGTAGTTTGTTGGAAATACTTTTCGTGACACACCAAGTTTCTGAACCATATAGAAGCACTGACTTGACTGAATTAGTCTTGAAAATCCAGATTTTGTTCACGCTTTATGCTGAATGCAGAAGATCTACACACTGGTTTCAGGCTAATGAAGGCCTGTCTTGTTGTCTTTCCGATCGTGGCTTTGACATCCTCATCTGTGCCGCTGCCCGTAGTTGAAACGATGCTGCCTAGATAGGTTAAAGTGGCTACTTCATTTCAGTTTCTCCCGTTGATGGTGATTGGTGCTTGTTGGTGGTGGTGGTCACGTTGGTTGGGTATCTTCATCACCTCTGTCTTCTCTACATTCATCTGAGGGAAATCCCGTTTTCGCTGCCTCGCCTTGCCTCTACAGTCAACTTGTTAGTTTTCGCCTGTAGGTCTTCGAGTTTGTGCGAAATAGTAAAGAAGACATAAATCATCATCGGCGAAATTCGAATCTTCCTCTGGGGTCTTCTCATCGGTCCAGCCAGTGTATGTTCATCTTCTTGCTCCTCACAGTTTGCTGTACGATCCTGTCCAGTTCACCACAATCAGGAAGATCATCGGTGATAGTGGACAGCAACCTTGTCTTACTCCTGTCTTTACTTCAAAGGTGTCACTGAGCTTTCCGTTGTGAATCACTTGGCATGTGCCGTCTTCATATAGCTGTTGGATGCGATTGATAAAGTTTTGTGGTACGACGTAGAGTTGAAGGAGTTTCCAAATTGCTTCTCGGTCGACGAAGGACGCACATACGAACGCTACACTTGTTTATATTAACAAATATACACACAAAAAGAGATACAATAACTAACCTTTGTTCGGGATTTCAGATTCACTATTATCCGATTTCATTGGATGACTTTCAATAATAGGTAACGATGATATACTTACACCAGAGTCAGAAATCACCTTCATATCAGCTGAAGAAATATCTATAACTGACTTGTCATCTTCACTATTAAACTGGCATTGTTGGTGTATCTGAATTCTTTCTGTTTCCTTTAGATTAGTATCATCCAAGGCATTAGGGAATATGCTAGTATCGTGAGTGCCCGACTGTAGGTTATGCGAAAAGTTAAGTTCATTTATGGTTTGAGATGAGGGTTTTGAATTTAACATCTGGGTAGCTTCAGTAAGAGAAAAGAACAAATGAGTTAGGCTTTAAAACTTTGTTACCAGTGTGTTATGTTATGTTTAAACGTCCCGAGTAATTTAAACACTTCCCGGTTGTTTGACGCCAAAATATCCAGTCATCATTCAATAGTCTCAGTGGTGATGTTGATACTGACGATTTGGTATTCAGCTGCTTTCTATTTTTAAGCTGACCGTGAGGAGTATGGGTACTTTTATTATTTTCATTTTCGAAATCATCATAAATTGTGTAGAAAACCCGTTCAGCAGCAGATAAATACATGTCAGCATCTAGATTGATGATTAAGCGACAGAGATCCTGTAGACATGAACGTTTTGAATGACCAAAGGAGTAAATGTATTCACTGTATTTCTTGTTGCTGCTGTCGGCACTAAAAGCTGTAGCATCGTCATCATCATCATCATATTGCTGTTTAACGAAGTTGATGAAGGTTTGTAGTATTCCGTATTTTTGACGCAGCTGCCAAGTTACTCCTCGGTCGACGCTGTCGAAGGCCTTTTCAAACTCGATAAAGTTGAGGTAAGGTTGACTACTGAATAATAATGATAATACATAATTTGATCACCATTCTGTACTCTGTTCTATGATGATGCATAGCGTAGCGTTGTAACTTCATCCACATCTGATTTGTTTTTGCTGATGTCAGCCAGCCTGTTTCGGACGTGATTTTGAATCTAGGGCATCTCTTATTCTCTCCACTATGATGCGGCTTAATATTTTGATTGTATTGGGTAGACAGCAGCGTGATTCCGCACCAGTTCTTACAAAGACTTAGGTCGCCCTTCTTTGGTAGTCAGTGGGCTTGTGGTTGTCGTCTGGGTGACAAAATCGGAGTAGATTATTGACTCTTTAGTTGACAGTTTGAAGAGTCCACTTCCATTCCATCTGCTTTTGCAGATTCCTAGCACTTCTCATCTCGTTTACAAACTTGGCAGCCTTGTCGGCCAGGTTCAATCATTGTGCGGACGTTGCATGTCCTCATGCCTACTTTTGCTTTCATCGAGAGAAGACACATCGGCCAATTGGCTTCCTGAAGGCTTTCACCAACTGGTGTCATTTTGTCTCCCCAATTCCAGCGAGGAGTAAGATTATCTTCATTTTTTTATATTTTCTCTGTGTTTTGAAGTTTGTTTAGCTATTGAATTTGTTTTCCGGTGTGTTGTTGGTAGCCCTATGCCCAACCTTCCTAGCAAACTAGTCGATGTTTTGACATATGATAATTATGTTGAACTCCTACCCATAGGGTTGTGCACTATGATTCACAGTGAGTGATACTGATACAATAATGCCAACTCTTATTTCTCTCCAAATACTGAATATCTTACCTTTCCATTCGTTTCCTGCTTTGCATACTTATTGGATTTGATATCACTGTTCTAATTTCTTGTTTTTCTCTAGTTGAGTATCCGCTTCTACATTGTTTCAATGCATCCCATTTTGAATAACATGGAGTTTTATCAGATCAAACACTTACGTATACTTGTACGAATGATATTCTAAAAACTGAGGATACTTATGACCTACTGATATAAAATCTACCTTTTAATTTTTAAAAATCTATTTTTGGCTCAAGAGGTTTCAACAAATAATTATGTATTCTACGTATTCTGCAAAAGTTACTGTTACCTTACTAATATTTGACGGTGATTTAGTTTTTCATTAAAATTAGATCTGAAGTGAATACGCGTGCATCTATTTTGAATGATTATTCGCATTATTCGCAAACCCCTGTCTAGTTTGATGCTTAATAGTAGAAATAGGAGTAAACTACTCACAAAGTAGTCAGTAGTATGATTCACTTGTTGGGATGTTATACAAAGTAAATAGTTCGTTAGCTCAAATGTTTTTCATTTCAGCTTCAGAATTGCAGCTTAATCCAGGTCCAGTTAGTCGTTGCCTTGTACGCCGTGCTTTACACAGTCTTTTGGAAACCTCAACCAGTCACTTGAATCAAGTGGGATATGAACTTGAGGCTCTAGTCAGCCAACAGAATGTAAATAAACAGCAAGAAAGTAAGTTCAGTAATAGGAATCCTATCATCCAATTCCCCCTCTATAATCTTAAATAAATTTTAGTAGATTCACTACAAATTTGATATGCGAAAAAAGAATCCGGTTTTTAAACTTGTGCTACATGCACGCACTTTTTTGTTATATTAGATTTTAATAAGTTTGAACGTATCCTGACCAACAATGGGCTGGATGGTAAAATTGGGTTTGTGAATTTTGGGAATACCATAGAAACATGAAGCCGCATAACCGTTTGGGGCCAAGTTAAACCACAAGACATTGCCTAGTTTTGATTTGAAATTATATGGTAATTTCTTAATCTATTGTTTCACTTTGCTAAGTGCAGGGTTATGCTTTTTGTTTCCTATCATTCTATAAGGTCTACTGGATACATATTCTGTGACCTTTTGTTCATAGTCTGATGTGCTCATGACCACAGTGATGGTTCCTTTATCCGCTTTCATAATCTGTACATTCTTATGATTTTTTAAAGAGCTAAGTGCATGTTCCCCTGTTTTTATATGTTCATATTTAACAGTTTTTGATTAATTAGGATATGCGAGTTTTTATACTTCCCTTCTTCTGCGATATTTTTCTGGATTAGTTTAATAGTTGAGAATCATAGTTTCAGCAGAATGACATGATTTTACCTTCTCATTTGCTTACGTCGTCTCCTAATTAAGGTTATCTTCATGGCGAAAGTTATACAGGGTAACCCAGAAGAAAGATATGGTTTGACAGTTGATTCTGAATGAAAAAGCTATCCTACTAAAAAATTCCAAGCAATCCTGAGACTCACAAGCTGGACCTTTAATCCGGTTTTCTTATGAATTCATAGCTTTTAACTTCCTTTTCATCATTGAACATTCATCTAACTAGATCATTTCAGTTCAACTGCAGCTTGGTTGTTTTCATTAACAGGTCCTCAGAAGTAGTTAGGCTATATCGAACTAATACAAATTACGCTTCACAAACTTTTGTACCCTCTATCTACAAGTTTAACTCTTTGTAGTTTTCCTCATCATTTTCTCGATTTTTAAGCATCAGTATCTTCGATGGCAGCATGCTTATTGTTCAGATTTACGGAAAGTAGTAGAAGTAGGTGGTTATTTAGGGTGTCTTTCAAAGGAAGTAAATGGTATTAAATAAGTCAGAAGATCGAAATAAGATGTCATTAAATCCAGTATCTTGCATCAAGTGTACTGAAATGCGTTCCATATATATGAAAATACTTTATAACACTAAGAAACTATCACAAAATTGCTGTTCCAAAGCTTTCTGAACATTAGGTTCAAAGTTCGATGACATATTTACGACGACCTAACATTAACTGAAATGCAAGCTACAATCCAAAAATACCACAGATTCATTACAATAGGTAAACCAATGACAAACATAAAATAAGCAGTTGTAGGGAAGTGTCGAAATTGTGCTAATAACATTAGTTGTTCATAAGTGTTATAACTGAATACGTCGAGAAAATACTTCACTCTTAGTAGGTACTTCGTCTTAGCTGCTTTGGGCTCTTCATTTCTCCTTATACCTTCAAGCTCTCATTCGTTTTATTGAATATAGCCAAGACATTCGAATTTTTCGATTGAGATGAAAGGCAACAAAGATTTAGTTCCATATTAGATTTGTTTATTTGATGTAAAGTGCACAGTGATACAGTATTATTTACTTGATTACGTTTCGAGCATAAATTATTGCTCATAATCATATCAATATCACATTGATATGGTATGCGCTTAATATCAAATAAACAAATCTAATATGGAATTACATTCTACCACAGTGCCCAAGTTTTTCACTTATAACAAAGATTTAGGTTGACTGAAATTGATGAATTTGTTAAGATTACTCAGAAAATACCTATTTATACATCCTAGAGAAGATAGCAAAAAGATAGGCGAGTGTTGTGAGCAATGTTATTTTTGAATTGATAAAAATGACATCATGAATAAATAAGTGTAGTAAAAGGTTAACAGGTTTTCATTGTATTGAACAATAAGATGAATAAAACTTAGAAATTGAGAACAGTTTTGAAATATATCACAAGAAGCAGAGTGTCATGAAATTATGTAGTTAATAAATTAGGAGTATAAAATTACCAATGCAAAACAAGACAACGGTATGTTTCTGCATACATTGATCAGGTTTTGGCTTTTTAATTACAACTGCTTCAGCAAACTGCAAACGACTCGGCTTCAGTTGTGTTATTGATCACTTTAATAAGTCGAGTTTATGTTCAGTATCAAGTAAGTGCCGAGCTATTTAAGATTTAAATTCTTCGGGATCTGTTCAGAAATGAGAACAATATTCCTTCTCTCTGTTATTTTAATGTATATCCTTTGGTGCTTGCATGTAAATTGGTAGATATTGTTAGAAACAGCAAGATTTGGGAACTTTCCCACTTTGGATTGTCTCGATGAGCCTTCAGTCTGATACACAGACTATCTTGGCAACTGGATAGATCTCTTTTAGTGCAGCATTCAAGCTATGGTTCAACTATATGGGATTTCATTCCCTTTGAAGGCAGGGTGTAGAAGGATGTGCTTCTCAACTGTACTGCACTTGCTTCTTTTCGTTTATATCTTACCGTAATTAGTAATATACTTTTTTTGGATAACCATTGTCACGTAGTTCTTTCCAAAGGTCGATTCTTCGTCGATTCTCTGTTCAGAGCGTTAGGACGGAACGTTTCACCGCTTTCACTCTGCTTTTTTAGAATCAAGCCGTTAAATTCTCTCGTGTTTGGAGACGCACCTGTCTAATCGTACCCACTATGTTACTTTTTCCACAGAAACAGTTAAATTGATATACACATGATGAAGAGTTAAGATTAGGTAGGTTATCCTTTAGTCTCAGACTGAGCATTGCTCGATTACTGTATGACATATAAACATGGCCTGCATAAAAAGTTCTGTTTATCACTTTAACTAGACATTGTGACAGAATGTTTCTTAGGGCATCTCCCTTGAAGTGTGCAAACGTAGGGATCTCTCAAATGTATGAGAGACTCATCAGATACAAAGTCAGAGTTAGAGGTGAGTTGGAAAAATCACTTGGTTCAGAAAATTATTACTGGACGCCAACTTAATTAAGGTGGAAGAAATCATGTTGAGCCTCTGGCTGATGATTGAATTCGTATAGACGAATAAGGGTTTGGACGTACGGAATATGGAAATGAATAATAGATGGATGAGACAACGCATACTCGGTCGTACTGATACACCGTATGTTTAATAAACAGTTCTGTCTCTACCTCCATTTTTTTGCGTCTTTTGGTTTGTTATGACTAGTGAAATCATATTTTAGTCTTTCATTTTGTCGACTTTTATGTCGATGGGTTAGTGCAAGGTGCTGCAACTTGAACTGATGTACAGTTTTAGTCCACCATATATTGTTAATGTCTGTTTGAAAACGTGACAGCCAGTTACGAACTAAGCAACTGAGTTGAATCCAAACCTTGTTATCCGTTTGATTTCACAACCCATTCAGCAGAACATTAGCTCAGTAATTGGATTATCAGTTTGCAAATTATATGCAAGTTTCACAGTACTCGTTGAAATTACTTACTTCTGACAAGTTTTTTTGCTGAGACGAATTTTTCCGCTTACACTATTGATGACTTCGAATCCAAGCAAGCGAAATGATCGTTCAGTATTTAGATTACTATTATCTGACTAACAGAATCTGCAGATCATCCTGAATGGTTTCTAACCACTCCTGTTGATCAGTATTATAATGGTCATTGACTGTAGCTCTGTGCTGCTAGGAAATGGGTTTTAATTTTCTATCAACCATTCGCCTGGGTTAACGTTCGATGATGCTTTAACCACAACTTATAATCTTTTTACGTCACTTTCATCAAGACTTTCTTGCATGAAAGCCATTGTTTAAATTATCTTCGCATTTTTAACTTTGTTACACTAGTTGTGGCTTCTTTTTCATCATTTTAGATGGTGTCTCGACCAACTTGGATAAACAAATCAACCATCTTTGTGAACAAATGAAATTACACCATAGTCACTTAGAGTGGATATTGAACTGTATCGTAAATATACTTACTTTTTCAGGTGTGTATTAACCTTCTGCAGTTTTTTTGCTAATAGGCAGTGTAATTTAATCAATACTGTATGAAATACTTTACTAACTGTTATCTGTAGTTACGCACCACTCACGCCTATCAACATTACTCACTAGCTTTATTTAATTTGATGAATGTGTTGTAAGCCAGTCATAAATTTTAAACTCCATCCCATAATTTCTATAAATGGGTGGCTTTTTAACTCCCGAAGTGTAGTGTAAACGTGGTTTACTCTGGAAAATGCCTCATCAGATGGAATTCAATAACAAAATCTAGTATTGAATAGCGTGAACAGGTGGAAGTAACGAACAGACTGAGAACAGGTTTCACTCTCCAGAACAGAGATATTCTGCACAGCAGACTACGATATAAATTGGTCTTTGTTCTGTTGTAGTCAGCTTGGTGGCTGGCTGTGGAATTCAGGATGCACGTTTTCGTCCAGTTAGGGACTTGTCAGCTGGACATACCCGCCTTCCCAGTGATTGATGTTGTCCCCACTGGGACTCGAATCCAGTACCCATCGCTATCCATTGATCCACGAAAGACACCTATTTTCCAACGTGCATCAGTTTTTGTTTGATACTTGTAAACTCCCGTGGCTATATTGGTTATTTTTCTGATTAAATTCCCCTTCATTCATCTTTTTTATAGACATGGTTTTTGAATGAGAGAAGTAGCCATCTGGCACTTTTATCCAATTTTGAAAAATCGCTATTGTTCAGTGTTGATGGAGTTTGACTGTTCGCATCATTCAACCACATGTCTGAGACCTTTGTATTGCGTCTGTGAGATGATAATGTTGACTTTTTGACGTGTAAATTTAATTGGTTGTGAAGTGGTCTTTATCTTTGGTTGCCTGTTACTCTGAATGTGAAAGGATCTCGCTTTCAGAGATTTTTCGCACTTCTGAGGAGTTTTTCGTTTTTGTATTTCCTACTATTAGAAGTCTCCATGGCTGCTTTATTTATACTGATAAGTTAACAATTCGAGCTTCTTTTTGAAAAAAGCTCTTTATGTGCTAACATCTGACTGATTGTTTAAAGCTAAGTTAACGTTGGACATAAAAATGTAACGTTACCTGGAGGACTGAATGACTTCTAACGGAATTCTAATTGATAGTATCGTTAGGTGGCTTGTTACGAGATGTTTAGTTTTATGGAAATTTTAAATCATAATAAAACATTTAGATGAACAAGTTAATCTGTGCATTGATACTACTCCAGCTTCTTTTGTTAAACACAGCTCTCCATTTATGAATCCTAAAGAGGTTGTAATTGAGAGTAGTACTGTTCACCAACACGTTGAAAAAGCCTTCCTCAAGTCGTTTATTGAATTCAATTGGTAAGTAATTTTTCTTTTTCTTATCCTCTTTTATTTCTCTTTTCAGTTTATCGAGATGAAGAAATGATTAATTTCTTAACGCAATTCAACCTAACTCATGAGATTACTAGACATGAATTTTCAAAAGTGTCCACAATACCCAGAATGAGTCAGTTTGATAATCAATATGATGAAATCGTCGTAGGGATATGAATCGAACGCCTGTGTTTCTTGCCCATACTCCTCCTCGTCATTCTTATCCTTTTCCTCCTGCTCACGATGATGTGGTGATAATGATAGTGACTTAACTGCCACAGATCAATATTTACATGATGCTTCACGACTTCGTCATGATGATGATGCCAACAAATTATACAGTCAGAGGATAGGAAATTATTTATTATCTACAAGAAACATGAACTCATTTCTGTGCATGCAACAAAGCTTAGAACAAGCTCTAGTTACTTCCATTTTTACTACTGCATTGCATATTCAAGTGAGTCTTACTCTGTTTTTTTTTTTTCTGGTTTGACCGTTAGGCATAAATTTTGTCATATTTGTTGAGCTTTACGCTTCTCAGCTCCTCATACTGAAATAATTCCTAAGAATGTGAGTTTTTTTTATTTGTTATATAGAACAAAATTGGTAACCATTTACTGACTATCTGATGATTTTCATTTTATCCTTGATGAACTGTCTGATATCTGAAACTTAGTTCGGAACTATTTTTCCCTATCCAATGAAAGTTTATTTCCTCTTAGTACACTTGTATATAATTCAGCCGATTTTCCAGCGGTTCTTTGTTCTGAAGTTCATCTCTTTGAAGTTATGGAAGTGAGCACCATTAACCAATAAGTCCAGCACGGTGAGCAAGTATCGATTCAGTCACCTCAGTTTAGTACTTATCTGAGCGGTGATCTTCTCAATAGCTATTTGTGTATTGGGAACTACTTACAAGAATATGCATAAGTAGTATATATGGGGGCGTCGGAAGTGATAACGATCAGTTGGTGGGGATCTGTGCGAAATGAGTACACAATGTTGGAGAGAAATATAAACAACAAGAACTGGGCAGACAGATGCCGAACAAGAGATTGTTTGCGAATTGCGAACTATATTGCAAGGTTTAATTGTTTTTTTATTACTGTCGGTTGTATTTTCTCAATAAACAATATCTACTTCGCCACTGAACTTCTCTTGACTACTTTTTTCCTGACATTCCTTAAGTTTGTGTATGTGTATGTTGACAGGTGCCATGATCTGGCTGCGAAGAAAGAAAGCATATTTCATGATAACAGTTTTTATGTTGATTAATCCATAAGTATACGGGGATCAATTTCTAACCATCAGTCTTCGTCTATTCTCAGTAATCGTAATACTCAAACCTTTTCTTGACTACTTACAAGGCAGAAAGTATTCTTTGATATTCAGTAATTGGCTGTTTGGCGTTAGCTTGTTTTGAGAATTGTTTGTTACTTAACACACTCTTGATTCAGTCATCTGGTTTGTGCTCTTGACATTTTTCGTTTACCATTATGATGAGAGCTCCTGAGAACAAATCAATGCTGTGAGATAATAGTAACAAAAATGAATCTTTAGGGAGTAAATCATGCCATTCCAATATGTTCACCGTAGTATCTAATTTCATTTTCTAGAGGGTTCATTAGCTTTTACCGCTTAAAAGTTTCACAACAAGTTAAGACATCTATGTATTACTGCCTCAATCAATTACTTTTGACCTATAATAAAGTCATAAGATTAATCAATTTCATTATGGAGATATTTTGTTGTTTCTGTTTGGTACTCATCTTACTTATCTAGTTTTGTCATTGAGATGTGTATTAGATGGATGAATCACGTGACCAAATACTATATCATCAGGTATTAGGTTGATCTCTTGTAGTAAACGGATAAATGATGACATGAATCAATATTTCAGTGCATAACTCACCGACACAACAATACTAACCAATAAGATACTAGTTTATCTGATCCGACAGGAATTAGAAGGTTAATGCGATTTCTACCCATCTTGTCATGAATGTAGCTAAATTTACTGTTAATTATTTGCTTTCAATGAATTCTTTCTTTATATTTCTCTCTATCACGATTTCAGAATTCCATAATATTGAGAATTTCCAATATTTCAAATTGTCTAACATCGAGCGATTTTATGAATCTTTTCACAAAAGCTCTTGGTCGAATATTAATTTCGCGTACACAACTACCTGAAGCTGGTGTGGCTGTTGACGTCTTGGTTACATATTTGTTGAGATTATTTAATGAAGAGCCATTACTACTGAATTCATGTTTAGCAGTCCTCCCACCTATGGTATGTGATTATAATACAGCTGTTTGCATTATTGAACACTTTTCCACTGTCACCTAACTCAATATGATGTTGAATGGAATGGTATTAATCTCGACTGAATGGGTTGGCGATAGGTTGAATAATTAGCTATGAGTTTGGATAATAGTTAATCCTGTAACCTATCCCCAATCCATTTAGTTCTGAACATACATTTCTACCCTTTGCATTACCACTTGACCTATGACCTTTTGTACTTAAATGTATGTCTCAGTTTACGATATATGTGTGTTCTTTTGCGTTGTTTAACGGTATTTATAATCAAGTATGTAGAGTATTTTTTAGCTGACGAGCATTATTGAAATTTATGAATTCTTTAAATCCTGCTTTTTCACATTCGTTGCTTGTTTGAATCTATATCGGGAAACTGATATATCCTTTCATGATGGCTCGGTTCCTCAAAACAGAAAAGAAGATAAAAGGGTTTATTGTCCAGTCGAATATCTGCAAAAATTAACGGTTTGTATACATTCGTCGATGACCTTGGAAAGTTCTACACCTTTCTAGAGAGCCTTTTAACCAATCGGAGTGTCACATGTATGACCACGTGCTTTTCCTCGAACATTCGACGTGCTACGATACACTGAAGGCTTTTTTAGGAGCTTCAGACTTCTTTGAGGAATCTGGAGAATATTGTCGCACTTCATAACAAAAACAAATGTTTTCAATTAACTTATTTTCCCAAATCATGTAAGTTGCCCAGTGGGAACCTCAAAATGTGGAGATCTTCATTTCCAACGCTCAAAGTATAGAAACATTCTGAGGAAAAATGAAGTATCTCTAGAGACTGAAGTCCGCATAATTTAAAAATGAGACGTTGGTATGGAGTTGCTATGACTTCGATTCGCTTCATGTAAGGTTGTATGAGGTGTTTTAATCAATTACTGGATAATAAACCATATCAGACCTCATATGTATAACTATTGTGGTTATACACAAGGTGATTCATATTATAATCTCACCTGCTCAACTAGTTCACTAGTTACTAGCCGGTCCTAAGCCCGGGTTAAGAGAGAAGGTTGGGCACAGACCTAGCAACCCTAACCCGTAAAACCAATCAAATAGCTAAACAAACTTAAAAGCACAAACAACATATAAAAAATAAAAACAAAATTATTCCTCGCTGGAATAGGAGAGACGAAATGACGCCAGTTGGTGAAAGCCATCGGGAAGCCAGTCGGCCGATTTGTCTTCTCTCGATGAAAGCGAAGGTAAACATGGGGACATGGAATGTCCGCACCATGTATGAACCTAGTAAGGCTGCCCAGATTGCGAAGGAGATGAGAAGTGCTAGGAATCTGTGAAAGCAGATGGAATGTGAGTGGACTCTCCAAACTGTCAACTGGAGAATCAATAATCTACTCCGATTTTGTCACCCAGACGACAACCACGAGCATACTGAGTTATGGAGTGGTTATCATCATGTCTCGAACAGCATCGAAGGCTCTCTGTCATGCAGTGGGAACCAATCTCCTACTCCTCCAGGATCAGGATCATGGCAGCAAGATTCAAGTGGAAAGGAAGGAAAGTCACAATCATACAATGCTTTTCTACGCTACACTATGCACCTACAAATAATGCACATGAAGAGAAGAATAAAGAGTTCTACAGACAACTAGGATCGGTACTGGACAAGACTCCACCCCAGATGGCTACATCAAAATTCTAATGCGTGGAGTGAAATGAATACCAGCCAAACTCGGAGAGGACAAGACAGGAAGAGAACTAATCATGGGTGGAGAAGCGCTCGTTGAAATGAGGAATGAGAATGGAGAACTGTTTGCAGACTTGTGTGCATTCAACGATTTGGTGATTGGAGTCAGACAGTGTGTACAAACACAAGGATATTGACAAGGCAGCGACATGGATTCGATTCGACCAGATACCAAGACACATTAGAAATCAGATGGACTTCATGTGAATGTGAAGAAAGTGGAGACGCAGCCTACTGGACACAAAATCAGATGAAGAAGAGGAGGGGGTGTGGGTGGTTCAGTCGACTCACTGTCTAGTGCAAGGAACCTACCTTCAAAATCGAGCTGAAATCCTTCGAAGAAGCAGTTGGTGACTAGACGACCACAGTTGAAGTTGAACACGGAGAAACACACAGAAACTGGACTGAACTGAACTGAACTGAATTGAAGGACGAAACTTCAAAGGACATCTTCACGTCAGTGGGGCATGAGGACGAAATGGGAGACAATGAGTAAGATTCGTGAAGAGAACTGTGTGAAAGAACAGTGGACTTCTGTGAAAGCGAGGTGGAAAGAACCCTGCATAATTGTGTTAGGAAGGAAGAAGAAAGAAGATAAGAGAAGGAATGGATCTCGACAGATCTCTACATGGAAGGTGGTAGAGGAGAGAGAGAGAGAGAGAGAGAGGGAGATGGTGAAGCAGAAGATGAAGCAGTGCAGTGCAGTGAAGTGCAGTGTAGTGCAGTGCAAGGATGAACAAGGAAAAGAGGAACTGAGTACAACGTATGAAACACTACACTGGATAAAGAAGTGAAGAAGAGTGTGCAGAAAGATGAACGACACTTCTACCACACACTTGCAAGTGAAGCAGAACAGACTGCAGGTAGGAGAGACGAAGATCTGACAACATTATATCAAATAACGAGATTGCTATCTGGGAGGAGATCAACGCAGCACAGATGAAACCAATGAAATATGGTGAAGGGAACCTAGTTACCAAAGAGGAGAAATGATGGAAACAACTTCGAAAATCTCTCGAATCGACCATCACCATCACCACCACCCGCAACTCGTCCAGAAATACGACCATCAGCCCAGCCACAGAACTATCAGTGAACACAGGCTCTCCGACAAAAGGGAAAGTGAAGTACTGAACACCATGAAGTCGCTGAAATCCGGAGAGCAGCAGGACGAGGTGGAATCCCTCCAGAAGCACTAAGAACAGACACACGGACAACAGTGGACATGCTCACACCACACCACTATTGCAGAAGGTTTGGAAGGAAGGGAAGGTACCTGTCGATTGGAAGAAGGGGTATCTTGTCAAACTCCCAAAGAAGGAAGACCGTAGCCCATGCAAGAACTGGCGAGGAATCATGCTCCTGTCCCAGTCCACCCCAAGCAAAATATTAAGTCAAATCATCCTAGAGAGACTAAAAGATGCTCTCGATTCAAAATCACGTCCAGAGCAGGCTGGCTGACTTCACCAAAAACAAATCATATGCTGATGAAGTTGCAACTCTACGCTACGCATGACCACAGAACAGAGTGTAGAATAGCAGTCAACTCCTTACCTTACCTCAACTTCATCGACTTTGAAAAGGCCTCCGACAGCATCGACCGAGGAGTAATTTGGCACTTGCTTCAACACTACGATTTCGGTGTCACAAATCTTTATCAACCTCATTCAACAGCTATATGATGATGATGATGATGATGATGACGATGCCACATGCCAAGTGATCCACAACACAATGGAGAGCTCAGTGATGCCTTTGAAGTGAAGACAGGAGTAAGACAAGATGAGGCTGTCTACTATCACCAATCATCTTCTTCCTGATTGTGGTCGACTCAACTGGGCTGGATCATGCAACAGATAACTGTGAGGAGCGAGATGGGCATATGGTGGCTGGACTGATGAGAAGACCCCAGAGGAAGATTTGGATTTCGCCAACTATGATGATTTATGTCTAATGTCACACAAACTCGAAGATCTACAGGCGAAAACTAACAAGTTAACAGAAGAGGCACGGCAGCGAAGACGTGACTTCCTTCAGGTGAACGTAGAGAAGACAGAGGTGATGAAGATACCCAACCACCAACCACCAACACAGCAACAACAACAACAACAACAACAAGCACCGATGACCATCAACGGGAGAAGCCTAAAGGAAGTAGTCTCTTTCACCTACCACCTAGGCTGTATCGCTTCAACTACAGGTGGCGGCACACATGAGGATGTCAAAGCCACGATCGGAAAGACAATAAGACAGGTCTTCATCAATCTGAAACCAGTGTGGAGATCTAATCCACTTAACTCTGCATAAAGCGTGAACAACATCTGGATTTTCAAGACTAATTCAGTCAAGTCACTGCTTCTATATTGTGATGAAACTTGGAGTGTCACGAAAAGCACTTCTAACAAACTGCAGACATTCATCATCAATAGCTTACGCCTACGGTCACTCGATACTGACACTGAAGATCAGATGTCCAGAATAATAAGAACAAGCAACAAGGAAGTCTGGCTGACTGGCAACGAACCAACCAACTAAGAACCTATCGCTCAACAAATATGCAGAAGAAAGTGGAGATGGATTGGATTGGGCATACACTGAGAAGACCATTTGGAGACA